AAGGCCCGAGTTGTAGGCCCGAGTTTGTAGCAGAGATGTCAGACAAGATATGAATGTTTTTTTGGGCTCAAACGAAAGAGCGGGTCGAAAAATGGTGTGCTAGGACCTCTAAAGATGGGTTGGAACCAGGGGAGACTCCTAGACCCCACTGGACAATGTTGTCACAAAAAATTTGGAATATCTATACATGGGGGGGCTAATTGATCGGATCTAGACCGGTGATGGGAAGAGAAGAAAATTGAAGGTAAATTTGAGGGAATTTGAACAACGGATTTTAAGTGCCGTCAGCTCCTTGAAGTTCCAGAGATATTGAAGAAAATCGAAAATCCCCCTTGCTCTTCCTCCTCTACTCTTCTTCATATCCTCATGCGTTCCTCAAGAAATATTTTCAATAACAATATTATAAATAATGGCATGTTGAAAGAGTTTAAACAATACTATTCTATTCTCCCCTTCCAAAATCCATTGTAAATGTATTTGACAATAAAATATTGTTTAAACTCTTCCAATATCCCATCGTTTATCCTGTTATTATCATCCATGGAAATGAATAACAGTAAATTTTCAATATTGGGCATTGAAAAATGAAAATAACAATAGAACTCCAATATGAAAGAATTTATTTTCCGCTCTGGTGATATTAAATTACAGCATGAATGTGGCTACTTGATTCATTGAAAACATTGAAGAAGGTGTTATTTATTAATCAAAACGTTATAATTGTCGAATTTGGCCCACTCGCTCCTCCAAAGGCAACTCACCACTTTTCCGAAACGATCAAGACTCATTACACGAAAACTAACTCTTCACTTAAACTTTAAAACTATCCAAATAACGAAAAATACAAATATAGAGAACAAAAATAAATAGAGAATGTAGTAGTTGTGACCAGCTTTGGCCATTCGAATCACCCTGGCGACTGATGATGAAAGTGAGCCACTCGTCCTCTCAAAATCCTCATCCTGAAATATTTTAATCAAATACTAATTCTTGAAATTGCTGAATGGATAATGTGAGCCTTTTTGCACCAGGAGCTACAGAAAATAGTTGAGAAAATATTCTCAATGACATCTCAGTTCCACAGAAGATTTAATCACAATCCAATTTATTTAATTACATTTTACTGAAAGTCCTCAAATCGAATTCAAATCCAGAATCTTAAAATTTAAAATGCAGTGTTTTTTCAATTCAAAAAATTTTCCAACTAATTTTCTAATTTTTTGTCCAAATGGAAAAATACCTTGGCAATCATCATAAAGGCATTTCACTCATTATACAGCTTTTACTTATTGCAATTGTCAATGACTACCCAGAAAACAATTTTTGCCAGTGCCATCGAAAATTTAACAGGACATCGGCAATTTGTCGACAAATTGTCGACATACTGTTTGCTGGGTAATTTACATGAAATTTTCGTGTACATCTTCATTGAAGAATGAGTTAATTCCTTGACACTGGAAACCAATAAAAATTGTAGAAATTCAACTAATATTCCGTTTTCAATCGACTGCATATTGAATAGAATGAATGTTTAATTCACTGAGCGATTCGTCCTCAAATCGAATTCAAATCCAGAATCTTAAAATTTCAAATGCAGTTTTTTCAATTCAAAAAATTTTCTAACAGTGCAAGTGTAAAATCTCCCTAGCTCAAGCTCCAGTGTAAATAGGCTGACCATAAACTCCTTGAAGAAATGAATTTTACCATGCCACGCAGCATTTTGTCCTGATATTTCACCTCAGTCCCAATGTCTATCGACAAACTCTTGAGGGCGTGAATTTTATCCTTGAGTTCATCCTCCAGTCTTTCATTCTCATCTTCGAGGAGATTTCGTGACGTGGTGGGTAGCGGCTCATAGCTGTAGCCCGCTGCAAAACAATTTATAAAGTCACGATTAATGAAAAAAGATCGTGATAGAGTTCATTGGTAAGGTATCGCTCACCCCGCTCACCCGAATGTGATCTCCTCATTTTCCTTGGTCCCTGTATGTTTCACAACTAACTGTAAAAAATAGATATTTCCATTCGTAACCTTCTCCCTATTTATTTACACGCTATCACAAGCCCCTAGTTATTCCCTCCCCAAATTAATTCGAGATTTCTCAAACGCGGGGAACTCCACGTCATCAAATCCATTAATTTTTGACATACGTATGAACGGGAGACAAGTGCTTGTTTTTGTGGTGCAGTGATGAAGGTTATCCTAACCTAAAAATCGCTCTACAGCTGTCTCACGTACGACAACTGGCACTGCGCGTGCGCTGGCCCATGTGTTCACCGTGTGTATCCAAAACATTCGACCGGTGACCATTGTCAACAAAACTACGAGAATATTTGACTGTCAGCCTGCCGGGATGAGATCACTGCGCCAAGTGAGTCAAGTGTTGTTATTTTTCTTGAGATTAGGGATGTCCGTACGCCTACGGACATACCAGTTGGTCAATATTATTAGTCAAGCCTCTTAAATGAGGTTGTGGTCTCAGAATGAGCCTCGAATCGAATAAATTACCAGAAAAATCCAGCGAATTCGATTTTGGCCCATTCTATTGAAGAATTCTCCAGTTGAGCTGTATTTTTTTTCATAGAAAATATTTTGAAGGGAAAATCAGTTGGGGAGGGTAGGGTAAAATGGACACTTTTGACTTTTTTAAAAATATTCATAACTGAGAAACAGATTTATCAATTGAGCTCAGTCTCTGCTCATCGCAAAGAGGAATCATTGTTTTTCAATTGAAAAATAAAATTATTCCATTTCATAAACAATTCAATACGTCATGAATATTTCAAAAAAAGTCCAAAGTGTCCGCTTTACCCTACCTTCCCCTAGAATTCTATGTTTTATGCAAATTTTCTATTGCCGCGAATTTTTTCTTGATTTCCTCACTATATTTTTCTTCTCTTTTCATTGGAAAAAATGAAACAACCCCAGAGAAAATTTGAGCCGAACAATTTCTGAAAATATCTCAATGGAATAACTGGCGAATTCTGTTGATTTTCTTACAGAATATTTCTTCTTGAAAATTTTTATTAAAGCCCACGGTGAAGTCAGTGCACCAAGTGAGTCAAGAGTTGTTATTTTTCTCGAGATGCCTACGGACATGCCAGTTGGTCAATATTATTAGTCAAGCCTCTTAAATGATGTTGTGGTCTCGGAAGGAGACTTGAATCAAATAAATAACAAGAACAATCTAGCGAATTCGATAGGAAATTCTGCTGAATTTTTATTCAATTTCTGTTGAAAAGAATTCCACAGCTCTGCTGCATTTTTGTTCATAGAAAATGTCGAATAGGAACTATTTTTAAGGAAAAACCAGTAGAATTTTACGTTTTTATACAAATTTTCTATTAAGACATTTTCTATAGGAATTCCTTGACGTGAATTTTTTCGTGTTTTCCTCCCTGTATTTTTCTGCTCTTTTCATTAAAAAGAATGAAACAACAGAAAACAATAGAGTAAGTTGTGTCGAATTCTATTGATTTTCTTACAGAATATTTCCCTTTGAAAATTCGTATTAAAAGAAATTTCAATAGAATCGGCCAAAAACTCATAGAAAAACAGATACAATTCTTCTAGTTTTCCCATCCAATTCCTATAGAAAGTCACTGAAATTTTCTATTTAATGCGTTAGTTTTTCTATTAACTACTTTTTTTTAATCTAATCGTACTATGAAAGTGTATCTACACCGTATCAAACGTATCAAACCGTTCCATCAACATTTTCGAAGGTTATTGATAAGGTAAATACCAAAAACGATAACAATTCAAATCACTCAATGATTTATTGATCTTTGATATTTCACATATATAAAGGCACAAACAATGAAAAAAGTTATTTTACCTCGAGTTTCTAGATTCTCTTCTCTACATCACTAATACCACCACACATCACACACTCATATTATACTTAATTAAGTCAATAACTTATCTAGTGTTAACATCTCGATAAATTGATAATTTTCTTTTGTGTACGCCTATTTCCTTATCTGTTTTCTATTGCGATGGGATTACTCGGATGGAGTAACATCCACACATCACAATCTAGCTTAATATACTATTCACAACCCTCCAATCGTAATGAGAAAAATTTGATATCTTTTCTACCAGCACATCTCAACCCCATCTCTCACATCGTATTCAACAATCTTTGATTTTCTCTTCATTCACCCACGCTAAAACATCGAATGAGTGGATATTTTATTCACTCGTATTCTATCGAATAATAATGCGATTAGAAATCAGTCTGACGATATCTGTGTATCAGACGTAGATCAGTGTACAACATCAACGTTTAATAATTGTTTTTATTTTCGTTCTTGATTCATTCTCATTTCTACATGTAGGAAAAAATTTAATAGAAAAACAGAGCACTTTCTTTAAGAAATCCCATTCATTTTCCATTGGAATTCTATTGAAATTTTTCTTTGAAAATTTGCATTTTTTATTTGTTTTTTGTTCCAATTCTATTGAAGATTATGCAATTTTACTCTGTCATTTTGTTAGGGAATATCTGATATAAAAAAGTCTATAGACTTTTTTTATGGAAATTCTCGGGCATGAATTTGCCTAATTTTTTTCCATTTAATTTTCATGTGTTACTCATAATAAAATCTTAGAATAAAGAACTCAGAAAATTCTAATTCAAGAATTCTTATAAAAATAATAGTAATAATAATAATAAAAGCGGCATCTGTATACTTTTTTCTATGAACAAATATCCATTGAAAAATGCACGTGAAAATGACATGATTTTCAATAGAATTGGCGCAATGAACAAACAGAATTTTCAAATAGAACTCTAATACAATTTCTTGGAGGAAGCGCTCGAATGTTTTCTCAAACTTTCTCATACATGTACCTCAATTCCCTTCGCTTTCCTTCCTGCTCCCCCCCTCAGCCATCGCCAACGACAAGAGAAAGAAATTTCAATGAACGATGAAGGGAAAAAAACCGACAATAAACCCCCAAAGGTCAGCAGGAACCCCTTAGGCCAGTGTAAAATTTCTATTTTGAGCTTTTTCCCATCACATGGAATGTTGAATAAAATTCTCCCCCTTCCAACCCGCAATTTGGCATTTGGAAGACAACAACTAATAAGTTTTCGTAAAAATCTCCCCGTTCCAATCGACAAGTCGAATGTATCGTGAAAATATCACATCGAATGAGTACAGAGAATGGGAATTTACCGAGTCTCTCTCGAGAAAATGTAGAATACAGCACCAAGAGATTTAATAATCCAGCACCCTGAGAGAAAACTGCTAATCCCCGGTGTGAGAAAGATGAGTGACTAGTTTTCTCCTCTTGAGAAACGCAAACAGTCTACGTTCCATATAAAATTTTATAGAAAAATAGAGATGTTGTTGAGAAACAATGAGATGAATTTACTTCGCTGAATATTTGGAAGTGGTGTTGGCTGTGTGAAATCGACGAGAAGGTGCAGGACTTGCTGGTGCTGACGGCGATGGCCCGGTGGGTGTTGTGGGCTTGGAGCCCCTTCGACTTCTCCTCACGGATGAGTAGGGACTTGTGCCTCGATTAACGTGCTCGTGGGCGTAAAGCAAAATGCCAATGTCACGGTGGCCAGCCTCAAGGGCTATTTTCAGTGCTGAGCTGCCATCGACGTCGGTAATTGACGAGTCACAATCAGGATGAGACAGCAGCATCCTGACGATGTCTGTGTGGCCGTGTTCAGCAGCGCACATGAGAGCTGTACTGCCATCCTCGTCCTGAATGTTGACAGCTGCACCAGCCTCCAACAGCAGATGCGTCATGTCCTTACGTCCGTGTGAGACAGCAAGCATAAGAGCTGTTTGCCCATGTAATTTCGCCCTGATGTTGACATCTGCGAGCTGAAAGAGCCTGTTGGCCACTGATGCATGCGTGGAATTCCTCACTTCAGCCAGTGCTGCAAGCATCACTGCTGTGTATCCAGCCACATTGGCCTTGTTGATGTCACAGACCTTGGAGTCCAGCAGAATCGAGACGACGTCGAAATTACCGTGGGACACGGCATAGTGCATTGCTGTGTTGCCACTTGAATCAGTCATGTTGACGATGTACTCGAGGAGATAGCTTGAGTATTCTTCGAAACAGTCGAGGTAGTCCTCGACGTCCAGGGGATTTGCTGTCACTGTACTCGATATGTTGAACCACTCCTGTTGGATTATGTTCGCTGCATTCTTCGTTTGATGGGAGATGTTTTTACTCGGGGATTTTCGCAGATTGTCGTTGAGCACTTTCAGGGCGGCTCGCATTTCTTTGGAGGGCTCTTTCTTCACTCGAGATTTGTCTCTTATTGGCTCGAAGAGGGCCGAGTCGGGGAGCTTCTCTTCTTTGTGGACTTCCTTCTCAGGTGGTGATAGGGCGGATTTTTTATTCTCCTCGCGGCTTTCCTCGGCCTCGAGTCGTTCAAGTCTGAACATAAGTAAGAGGGCGATTAATTTCTGGAGAGTTGGATTTCTTTCTGGGGAAATTAGTACGTGGGTATTTGAAGCGGAACGAATGGTGCGAAACAATGGGCATTACCGTTCATCGTGAATGGAAGACGATACAGTTTCGATGACTTCAGCGGTTATTGCTGGGGAATTGTACTTTAGCTGTTGTTGTTGAAGCATCGATTTATTCCGCGGTACAACGGGTTAAACGAATCAACCGTAGCACTCACCGTCGCATTGGATGAAATGTTAGTTATTCATGCGTGAAGGGAATTTTTTAGTCGAGTTAATACGGAGGTTTTGATACTGTTTGGAACTAGTATGGAGTTTATGGTTGATTGTGTAGGGAAAGGACTCTCTTACGCCGATTAGGGTGATGGCGAGCTCGTGACTGATATAAGGGTGAGTTCGCACGATCGAGGGGTAGGTTTTTACGCAGGCGCCGAGTGCTGCGTTTATATCCGAGGGGTGCAGTCAGCGCCCTTTGCAGCATTTCACGTCACGTGAAATTTCGAAAACGATAAATTCATTTGTTAATTAATTTTACCAATTCCGTCGTTCAGAATAATTTATTTTGAGTTAATTGAGCCATTTCCAGGTTATTTTGATTGAGTGTTAATTTACGTTTTTATTTTTATTAAATTTCATTGTGATTGTCGCAATTTTTTAAATGATTTATATTATGTATTTGACTACTATCGGAAATATTTACAGAATTTATAAAGACTGCTTATACAAAGTTTTTATCAAGAGTAAAAAAAATTCAGTAGTGAAGCGGTGAAACTGTACTAGTCGAAATCCGGGGGAGATAACGAAATTTTTGTCACGATTTATTTTGTAGAGAGGTGCAGTCAGGGCCCTTTGCAGCATTTCGCGTCACGTGAAATTTCGAAAACGATAAATTCATTTGTTAATTAATTTTACCAATTCCGTCGTTCAGAATAATTTATTTTGAGTTAATTGAACCATTGCCAGGTTATTTTGATTGAGTGTTAATTTACGTTTTTATTTTTATTAAATTCGATTGTGATTGTCGCAATTTTTTAAATGATTTGTATTATGCATTTTACTTCTACTGGAAATATTTACAGAATTTATAACGACTACTTATACAAAGTTTTTATCAAGAGTCTAAAAAAAATTCTGTAATGAAGCGGTAAAACTGTCCAAGTCGATTTTGACTATTAGCCAATTTCCAATGAATATCTCCAAATCTGAGGACATAGCCAAATTTTTGTCACGACCTTCTTTGTAAAACAAGTTGAGGGCTACAAAGAAGGTCATTACAAAAAATAAGTTATCTCCTTTAGATTCGGAGATATTTTTCGAAAACTCCGCTGAGAGCTACGTCAACTTGAGCCATTTTACCGCTCCGCTACTGAATTTAAAAAAAATCGAAGCATCCCGAGGGAACAATTAATCAACATCGTCCACCAATTCCTCAATTTTCCCATTTATTGTTGACAACTTACTTATTGCTGCTCATCTCATAGTTCTCCCTGTTATCAGCATCATACCGAATGACCCCAGTGGGAATTTTGGTATAAGTGTCTTGTCTCTTGAATTGCCTTCTAAAATCTTGCGTGTTGAGGGGAATGTGAGAAGGTCGTGGTATTTTAGACGTGACATTTGCGCTCTGACTCTCAACATTTTTATAATGACTCTCAGTGCTGCTGGACATCTGTTTGGCAAGTGATTTAATCGTTTCTTTGCAGTTGTCACAGTAATTAGCAGCGCACGATATAGCAATGTGTGGTTTGAGAGAGTCCCCAACCGAAACATCCACGAATTTCTTTTTGATTGGGGAGGTGCCAAATTCACGGGTTTTCGGGGTGAGACCTGTGGTGTCAGTGCTTCTCGCTGTAGTTCTGATGAGGCCTTCAACGTTGAGACCGATGGATTTACTGGTTTTACGTTTTGGTTTTGTGTCACCATAATTGAACGAGTGGCTCCGTAAGTTCATTGAGTTCAGTGAAATCGTCTGAATCGAGATGGGATCGGGTCCAGTGGCGATTGACCTTGTCCCAGGTCCAGGTCCCACCTCAGTCCCCACCTCTGTAGTCCTGGGTTTCGCTGTGACTCCGACATTTGATTTCATTCTGAATGGCTCTGACACCTGCGTCTCCTGATGCTTTTTCATTGGGCTCTGCAAACTGCACTGAACTCCTTGCGTCGATGTCGCCTTCTTCACAGCTTGTTTGTACGTTTTGATGGCATCTTCAACGATGAAAGCTATGTCGTCAGACGTGTAAACGTCTTTCATCATCAATGACGTTCCAGTACCAATGGAGGACGTCGTTCTTCGAGGCTTGTCTGTACTGGTTGAGCAGTCTTTGAGCTGCTTCAAATCCGGCAGAATACTCTCCACCTTTAATGGCCCTCTCCCCAGTGAATTATTCCGGCACACTTCAGGTGAAGTGCCCTCACTTGTTTCACTGCTCCTCGAGAGTCTGGACAAACTGCAAGTGTCACTCCCTGAAAACGATAACTTTGTACTTCGCGTCAGGTTTGGGGATAGATTTTGTCTGCGATCCAAGTCCCTCTCGTCGATCCTCAGGGCTGCGAACTCCCTCGATTTAGGATCACCGAACGGTTGGATTGGTGTGCTTGTCACCATTCCCACATCGCGTGTACGAATCTGAAAAAAATGAAGGCGTGATGTTTTATAATAAGGAAAATAGAGCATTGCGCAATTGTCTCGACTTGGTGCGGTCATAATACGAATACTTATACAATCAAATTCTTTTCAATAGATATGATCAGATACAGTTTTGTGGAGGCAAAGTTAGAAAGCACAACGTTGAGTGCGTGCATTCATCGGCTGGAGCGCTCCAGTGGGAGAATGGTCACGCTATCAACGCTAATTGCTGAAATATTATTCCTGTTTTTGTTTTTTACCTGCTGATGAGATACACCAACGTCTCGTGTCATGATGCCGCACATTGTGCCCATGTCTCGGGTAGCGCTTGAATTTCGGGGACAATGTCGCTCCGAGAGCGATTGGCTTCTCAATCTCTGATCGTTTATTTCGCTCAGTCTTGTTCGGTTGAGTTCCTGCACTTGGCTCTGCAGATTACGCTTCTCATCCTTCAGGATTGACACTTGAACCTGAATATCAAGCAGTGTTTCAGGCTCGATGAATCTTAGAACTACCATTGTGATGTTTGTTTCAGTCAGTAACTTTTGTATTTGAACGAGGCCTGACTTTCGTCGGTGAAAACTTTAGTGCCACTGACTGGAGGAGAGGATGTGCAGGTACACCTTTCCAGTGGGAAAGGCAGGGGGGGGGGGAGGAAACGTACTTTACCCTAGTGGGGGCACAGGAATGAATGAATTTTCAGGTACCAATGGGGGATTTTTGCAGATTTACAAGGTGGTCGAGGGTCGCTTTAATGCCGCTGGGAGAACGGCACGGTTTACTGCTTAATGGTGGGCACAGTCGTTCTCGAGAAAAGTGCACCTAGGAAGAACGGAACATCGGGATATTTTGCACGTGCGGGAGAATTTTATTGTCGAACCTGGGACATTCCCTGGGAAATTCTGCTGCACTTGTTTTGAACTTGTGCTGAAAATTTCATCAGTTCTTCGTTGGTTCTATTGGGAAATTTCGAAGTTCACTTGGATTGAGGTTTTGATCTTTCTATACAATTGTCGACTTGTTCCGGTGAAAATTGTTTCTATAGGAATTTGTTTAAATTTTCCAAGTTCGGAATTTTTGAGGGAAGAAGAAAGGAAATGCTTTGAAAGAGTTTGAAAATTTAGGCCGAGGAATTTCTACCAAAAATATTTCAGTACAGTTGGGTAAAAATTATCTAGATCGTGGATCATAGAGCGGAATGTCATGAAATGAAAAAATACCTGTTTGCGGAGGATATTTTACGATTCGTTCGGTAAAAAACACATTTGTGGATGCAAACATTCTCTTTCTGTACAGTAAAATCTCCCACCGGAAGTGAAATTTTACCGAACGCGTTCGGCAAAAAATCATTCTACTTTATAGAAAAATTATACGCAGTATTGAGCAATTATTCACGTTCGCGGGGATAATTTTGGATGAAATGGAGGGTAAATTTGACAGTTTCGGCACAAATTACCGTCGCGTTCAGTCAATTTTCGCGCGAAAATCGCGTGCGCTCCACGATTACTTGACTTGTTCGGTAATTTTTCTTCATCTTTTTTCTCCATATGTAGGTTGTGTACAAAACTCAAAATCTATTGATTTTTCTTCAAACTATTGTTGTATTTGTGAATATAATTTACACGAAAAAATTGAGTGAAAGCAGTATATGAAGGGTTTACGCACGGAGTGAATTATTCAATAAAAATTACGTATCTTTTCCGTAATTCCGGAGCGAAATGTGGTTGTAAGAAATTTTACGGAACTGTCACGAAATTTTTCCGGAGCGTTCCGTAATTTTTATCTGAATCTCCTGTGAAAAATTACGATACCGTCACTGAAATTTTCGGAGTCGATTCCGTAATCGGTGAGTGAATTGTGAGTTCCGGAATTTTTACATTTCTCTCCGTGCGTGAAAAAACCTTCTATGAACCATAATATAATATAATGAGATACCCCGAAAATTTCGGCTTTCTCTTTACTTCTGTGCTGACCCCATATAGTTTTATAGTTTTACGGAAAATATTCCTGTGTATAACATCTTTCTAAAGATGTTTGGATACTGAAAGAAATTATTTAACAATAGAATTATTCCATTATTACCTGTAATATTGGTATAGCTTTAACTTGCTCTTCCAATTCCCGCATTCGTTCCAGCGATACCGCCATTTGCTCCCTAATGTTCTGAAGCAAGACGAAGGTTAATGGTTTTCAAGTACGAAACTGATTTCTCTGCGATAATGGACATACCTGGAGAGTTCCAGTGCTGTGATTTGAATTTCCACTTCCAATGCTTGCGTTATCAAAATCCATGGCTCGATCCACGTGAGCAGCATTGTGGAGGGGGGATATCGGTGATGTTCCATCTAGAAGACAATTAATTATTCCGGGATGAGAGGATGAGGAAAAGCCTCGGACCTAAGCGGTCTTTAAAATTCTAATCCGTGAATAGAGGAGTCGAAAATTATTGGTGAAATGTGCGCACATTATGAGGCTGTCGCATATATTACATGCGAAAAAATCCATATAAAACGTAATGTGTTCCCCAGAATATTCTATTGAACTTCTGATCAAAGTGTGACTGAATTTTATTAGAATTCTATTTTTTTGACTATTTCTACTGAAAATTATATAATTTCAAATCAATAAATTCTGATTCTTCTGTAATACGATTTATTCTATTGCGATTTTTTCTATGACAATTCATAGAAACGGCTTTTTTCGTTTTTTCTCGGGGAAATACGTTACAAAAAATAAAAATCTACTGACATATGTTAAAAATCTGAAGATAAATACATGGAAAAGTGAATACTTGAGATCTTCTTTAAATCCCAACATTTTCATTTATAAACAAAGATATTGGCAATTAGAGAAGATCACAAAACGTCCCACTTTACCCCGCACTCCCCTGCAGACTTTTTAAATCAAAATTCGGCATGAAGTGAAATTTCATTCGGCAATGAAATTTCGAAAAGCATTTCAAGAAAATTCTCTTAGGAGCATTCTCCCCCTCTTCTAGAGTTGTAATCGAATTTCCTAGCGCGAAGCGCTGTTTTCCTCCCGAATCGCTGTCATGTGTGAGCTGATAACACGTGATGAAGCGGTTGAAACATCATTGAATTATCCCTCATTAAACAACAAAGACGAGAAAAACCCAACAGATTACGACACAAACGCATTTTTTGCTGGCGCGCAGTGCAAGTGATTTCAAACGTATGTGAATTAACGGAAGACTTGATAATGAATTGAATGTGTTTGGGTGGAGATAAACTAAGCAACTACACTGTAGTTAACTTTGCCCTCGTAATGGACGTTAATGGAATATCAAGAGACGGTCAACAACACCCCGGGACGCGTGATTCTCAACACAGCAGACGTTCAACCCTGTCTCCTATGATTTACAAACAGTAATAATCATACGGTGGATCATCACGTAACAGGTTGAACACCTCGTAGAATATTCATGTTTTGTTTGTTCAAACTGTCAATATGCTTCATCCTAATGTGACTATTTTATCAGCTCAGCGATGCTCTTATCTCTCGTCTGTATTCACTTGACAGGCGAAAATAATGTTATTTAAAATTTTCGAAGACAATGAAATTCATTTGCAATCAATTCATCAACTGATGAAACTCACGATATTTTTTCTTCTTCATTTTGCAGAAGGGTAATCGCTTCATAATAAAATTCTTCACTCCCATTTTCCGACGAACTTTTCTCTCAATTTTAAATGGCTCGTTGGAAAATTCTCCTCAGTGATGTAATGAAACGCTAATCCGTTGATTCCTTTTCAGTACTCGTTACGTTATCAATTTTTCACATTAAACTATGTGGAACGCACTTGTTAAAACGGTACTTGACACGATTAATAGTTATTACGTTTCAGATCACTTGATTTATCGATTAGATTTTGAATTGAGGTGTTAGTGATTTTTCAATTTGATTTTTTAATGTTTTGGGACAATTGGAGTTTATGTTTTTCCGTTGCGGGGTCGCATTCGACTGTTCCGCGGAGCTGAGCTCCCCAAAGAAACACGGTGAAGCCGAGTGGCAACAAAGAGGGGGAGAAAGGCGGTGAGCGCTATAATGACTTCTAACAATATCATTATCGTGCTGATTCCTCCGTATTTTTTATGTGAATGGAAAACGGTTTTTAATTATTGAAGATAGGTCGATGGCAGCGGCTAATCAATCGATAGACAATTTGCTAGCGTCATTCCCCGAAGAAAATTGTTGTTAAATTGAGCAACCAGGTTTATACAATAAATTCTGCATGTGCACGGTTAATGAGCATGCATTAACGCGTTATGAAGCATTGATAGGATTCAGTCTGAATTTCCCAGAAACGGTGGAATTATTGCGATGGACTTTCAAAATAGAAACAGTTGTGAACAAAAACGGCCGGCCAACAGGTGCGCTCGACTACAACACACCATATTTGAAGACCAGTTGTTGCAAGGTTGCACCAAAATCGTAGGGCAGTAATTAAACTCAATCACAATGTTTAAATTTTGCAACGAGATTCTTAATGCTGGGAACGAAACGCGGGCTATCAAGGGCGACGAGTTTTTTGTGTTTGTTTTCATTAGAAAATAGATGATAAGTGATAATAGGTGTGAAAAGCTTCTTTGGGCAGGCTAATGTATTCGCTAGAATGTTCTGCTGGTTTTCTGTTGAAATTCTATTCAACTTCTTTGGGATTTCGTTCGCAATCTATTTGTTTCAAGTGGAATTATTGAAAATTATACAATTTTGCCGTGGTAGTTTCTTTATTATATCAGAATTATTTGGCACAAATTTTTATTTTTTTTTAATTTTAAATTGGATAATAGGGAATTTTGAAAAATACAGCAAATAAAATTTAAAAAGTAATGCCCAAGAATTTTAATCGTATAAAAATCATACATCTTTCAGTTCAGAATTTCTGGTCATTATACAACATTTTGTGCAAGTGAGTATTTGAGTTGTGTTGACATTCCGTTCAAACTCTATGTTTTTAAGCAAATTATTCAAATTATATAATTTTGCAATGCCATTATTAAGCATGAAATTTAATTTTAATAGTAAGAAATTGAACAAAATGCAAGGAATCAAACTTTAAAATTAATGTTCAAGAATTTTAGCAGAAAAGATCAAGGAAATAAATCGTATAGAAACCACACGACTTTCGATTCAGAATATCTAGTCATAATACAACATTTTATGTAAATGGGATTGAAAAAGAAATTAGCGAAAATTCGGGGAACATGTTATATTTATTTTTCATTTGACTTCTATTGACATTCCATTCCAACTCAATTTTTTTTTAAGCCAACTTATTGAAAATCACATACTTTTGCTATGTAATTATTATGCATAAATTTTCTAAATTTTTAAATTTAATTTTGCAACAAGAAATTGAACATAATACAGTGAATGAAATTTAAAAATAAATTCCCAAGGAGAAATCAAGAAAATTAATCATATAGAAATCATAAAACTTTCAATTCCGAATGTTTAGTGATCATAAAACATTTAATGCAAATGGGATTGAAAAAGAAATTGGCCAAAGTTCTGGATTTCTGCCGTCTGAACTACAGTAGTCACAAACAGAGTGCGACGAAAAAATCGTCGAACCGATTCGCTGTGTTTGGAGGCCAGGAAAATAACTTTCCGTGACGAGTTGGTAATTTCCCCATTGAACGACTAGATCGACCATAGTGACAGCTATTTCTGAACTGTTATTTCCAATTGCGCTCTCAAAATATATCGAGGCAAGGCAGCGTAATCTGTGACGCAACGTGTGATAACACTTTAAATACGTTGGCGAGAAAAAAACAGGTGAAATTGCGATCCTCACAATTTTTAACTTCTGGTAGATAACTGAAAAATACTGGAAACCGTAAACCTCAAAGGCTCGCATAATAAACGCCGTCTACTCGTGGGGCGGAAGCAGGTGGTTCCAGCCACGCACTGTCGATCACGACTCCTTCGAAAATTCAAGCGCAATTTTATCGGCGCGGCATCTTCCTTTCCCTCGTGAAACCATCGCCCTCCGCGCCACAAAACCAGAATGGGAATAAATCATCAAAGCAGATGAGATAAATTCATTTATCTTGGATTAGCTATAATTTTCGATTGTACAGCAGCCGGAAAAGAAAATCCAGCGATCATTTCCGCGATCGAAAGAGGAATAGTCTATACCATTATCATTATCCGGGCATTTGCACCCTTGCAATTATTATTTTTCCCGTTGTGTGTACGAGCAACAATGGGAAACGGTGCGTTATGTGTTGCAGTTGGCTGTGAACGACTGCAGTTTGTTTTCTCACTGATGTGAGATATTCCCAAGGGAATTTGTTTCGCAGCTCTGATTAAAGGTTCGTGGGAAAAATATGAGAGAAAGCGTCATGTTCGTCAGGTGATAAATCTGACGCCACGATTTTAAATGAGAGTATTTGTCTTTCTCAACTGCATCGAGGAGACGAATTTACGTTGCGAAAAGAGTTTATTTATTGTCAGTGAATTAATTGCGTTGGAGGTTTCGTGATTTAAAAAATTAAATTTTTAGGGAGATATTCGCAATTGTCGACGTTCAATCGCTGAAATTCAGAGACAAAATTTATAAGATTTAGAATTTTTAGGAGATTTTGAAATTGCTGACAAAATCAAGCGATTTCATTATTTCTCAATCTTAAAATTGTAAAATAACGCGTTTCTCCAACAATTACAGATAGATAGAAAAAAAAATAAAACTTTTTTTTGTATTATGTGCGTTGAATTGTCCTGACGAGTTTAATTCCATTAAAATAGTCGTAAATCTTCAGAATTCTATGCCAAAATCTCAGAGTCTAGCGTAATTTCAACAAAATCGCGTATCAATTCTTAAAAATAGACCTTTTCATCCCGTGACCCATTAGATTTTCGTACACTTCTACCCAATTTACATACAAATCATCATTTTGGTCACCTCAAATCTACATCGTCTTAAATATTCATCAGAATTTTTCATTACTTTTCCGGAGATTTTTCAGTTCGATGAACAGAATAAATATTTTCCCTAGATTCACCTCAAAACTGACACTTTTTTTCCCAGTGTTAACTCACTTGTTAATTACTCAGGAATATTCAGTTGTTCGTTTTGAACTACGTCATTTTTTGAAATTAGTAAGCCGTGTTGATAACAATGCCATGACTCACCGGTCTCAACCTCGTTCTTATACCGATTATTCTTCTTGGAGGGTTTTGAGAGTCTTTTGAGGGTCGCCTCAAAATCGCCGATGGCATCATTCAAGTCCCTGGCCGTTGACTTCTCCACATTCCCTGTTGATCGACCAGTGTGACCTGGCCTTGGCAAGGTCACTAGATTGTTCCTGGGCGAGATAGCCGGGTTTGGCGATAATTGGGATAATTCTGTTTCAATATCGCTCAGAACGGGATTGGCCTGGGCAGAAAAGAATAACATGACTATCGGCCAGTTTTCGGTGAATATCTCGAAATCTAAGGGAGATATCTAAATTTTTGTCACAGCCTTTTTTGTGGCCCTCAATTCGCTCTATAAAAAAGGTTATTATGAAAATTTCGTTGTGTCCCTTAGATTCGGAGATATGGCCCGAAAATTCAGCTAAGGGCTAAGCCGACTTGGACCGTTTCACCCTCGGTTTTATCGTTTCGCTACTGAATATTATTTGTTCATTGTTAGTTTACTTTTTGAGGAGTCCTTACCAGGCCTAACAGGATCTCCATGGACTGGCATTGCCTCCGTTTTTCTCGCTTCTTGCGACGCTCTAGGGTAGATCTGTCCCCGACAGTTCCAGCTGCAACTGCTTCACAATATTCAACGAAATCCAGATCAATGTGGTAGCCAAAGGGGCAACAGTGACATTTGGAGCCTGTTGAAGCCGCAGTGCCAGAGGTGTAGCCCTCTTTTCCCACTGAAAATTGGTTGTCATCCAAAATAGATAATTGAGGATCAAGTCCTTTCTCTACTTAACCATTAGACTCCCCATTAAATGTCTATTTTTTCTAACAGTGTAATCGTGACGAATAGTGAATAGTGATTTTTTTACGCTGACTCGGGAAAATTTATTAAACATGAGGCTAATTTCTGCCGAAACTGTAGAATTTCTCGACAGAGAACTAGAAATTTTTTGAAAATTAAGCATTAGTTGCAATTGAGTTCTAAATGTTGAAAATTTAAATTCAATTGAAGATCAAATCGTTCAGGGAATCTCTCATTCAGCTTGGAAATTCAGAATAATTAGGTTTTCAAGGTTTGATTATCATTGATATTTCAATCACATCTAGAATTTTCAAATTTATTGCGAAAATTGAACATCACATTCAACTGAATTTTCAGTGGATTGAAAATTCATGGAAATTGTTGCTTGAATCATTTTCATTATCATGTGGACCTGAAAACCGCAATTCCATTGAACATCGCCACTTGGCGAAATTGGTTAACGCATCAGAACAGTACATTAAAGTTTAGAATTGTCTCAAAGAGGGAGACGGAGATCACAATCGAACTAAGAAATCGCTAAGTTCGGACTTCGCGTTAAATCGCGATGTTAACATCATTGTGACAAATGTCTGGAGTTCTGCGTTCAAATCCGAGCTGCGGTATTTTTTTTCTCAATCATAAATGGGGTAAAAAACAATCTCGATATTTCCTGAATGAATTAGAATGAAGTATGACTTAAAGGTGACTGACCACAGAGGCACGTAATAAAACGAAATATGTTGTAACGATTGGCGAGTGTCCAGCCTGAGAGGGGTAATAATAATCCACACAGGGAGAGTTCGTTAGCCGGGCGGTTGCGGCCACTCGGGCGCCCGCGCATCTCATTTTGTTGGCGCTAGTATCCTCTTTCAAGGGATTTCCTTTGTAGCGAATGCAAGCGCCAACACGCGAAAATTCCGCGCGAAATTAAGAGAGAGATTTATGAAAAAAATGGAGTGATTGACTTTCTCGGAAGCCTCGCGTGTTGCACAAATAATTTGAAGAGTGATGGATTAACATGTCCGACTGATAATCAACAGCAGATAACAATAATCAAATTTGTTCATGCTTTCCAAGGTCGATGCAGGTATCGCACGGTAATAATAAAGCGTATACAATCGGGGAGATGTGGAACGAGTTTTGCCAGCGTTCCCATTATTAAAAACTCTGTATGTGAAACTATGGGAATTAATGACGATACGCTGCACAGACTTATCCAGAATTGAATTAGTTTCGCTTGCTTACCGTTTCCGTTGAAAACACGGGCCGAGGATACGGTCAGCGCCATTTCTTCAGGGTCTCTCGAGCTTCGTTAGGAATTCATCCCCTATAAATATCAACTTGTCACTGTTAAGAATTTTACGCTGAAATTACCGCTACAACATGCACGACAAAATTTTATAGAAAAATGTAGAGAATTCGCTAGAACATTCTGTTGGATTTCCAGCGAATTTTCTGCTCGTTTATTTCAATAGAAACTATTCTATAGAAAAAATCAACAGAATTTGATTTTTCTACTTATTCCATTGAAAAACTTCTTATAAATTCGTTGACTGATATTTTCAAAGTTTTTTGTTTGGTTTTTGAAATAAAAAGAAGAAAAATTGAGTGAAAAAAACTTGAAATATTCATGTAGAGAAATTCTGTAGGAATTCAATGTCTCAATCGAAAAAAATGTATAGAAAGATGAAATTCTATTGAGTTTCTTCGAAAAAAAAGTTCCTATTGCACATTTTCTTTTAAAAATGCGCAGTGATGCTGCGGAATTTTTTTTATAGAATCAGTCAAAAATTAAGCGAATTCTCTAGGTTTTTCTATGAAGTTTTTTCGTGTGTGAATTTTTGGAAGTTTTATCAGTGTTCTAGTGACTGTTTCACTGAAATTTCAAGGGATTTCCTCATTGAAAATTTACAATTTGAAAACACATTGATGAAACCTTTAAATTTCACTTCAATCACTCCACGGAAATCAATAGAAATGAAAAATGAAAAGAATGCATTCTAATTTTTAGTAAAATTGGAAATTTCATGATTTTCCGCTCCTCAATTGAATCTACTGTTGCTGGCATGAAAATGACTGCTCAAGTGCCCTTGAAATTTTTTCTCTCAGTGAACGATCATTCCTGCACAATCTACGTAAATAGTAGTGACAACGATAATTGCTTTCAGTTCAAAATTTATATCCAAGCGTGATATAATGTAATGGCGAAGTGGTACAATGTAACAAGTCGACTCACTCTTATTAGGTGAGTATTTCAAGGAATCTTAGTCTCTGAATCTAAGAAAGATAGTTAAATTTTTCTGAAGCACGTTCATTCAGAGCGGAATGAGAACTGGGAAAAAGGTTCAGAGAGGAATTCCGCTGGTTTTCTTCGATCCAGAGATATTTTTCGAAAACTTAACTAACAGCTGCATCGACTCGTTACCATTTCGCTGCTGAATTGTGTCACTATATAAGAGGACTAGCATAATCCTCTGGTTTTTCCATCGGACAATGCAATTATTTCTAACTTAATAAGCATTTTATGACCGTCCGCGAAATAAACAATTTTCTAAAAATCGCTTTTGAAAATTGTAGTAAAAATGCTGTAAATTCAATATAAATTGCAATTTCTCAATTACAAATCTCACAAAAAATCACAAATTTTCTTCGAATTACTGTGTTTAAAGTAAAAATTTCACAAAAAATTCGCAAAGCCCAATAAGTTACACGACCACTGAAATTCAGGAGTAATTCTCACCCTTTCGTGACTCACTTGCGGTGCGCGCCTCGACCCCGGGTATTTTTCAACAATAAAACGAAAACTATTGGGCGAATGTTAATCTTCAACCCTCAGCTACTCAATTCCGTTCTTTTCCCTCCTATTATGTTTATTTTCTTGTTCAAAAACCACATGAGTAGCAAAATCTCTTGTCCTCCATCGATGCTCACAGAGGTATAGGATTATCCCGATTATTTCCCCCAGAGGATAATCCTCCGGAGGATGATGTCTTGCTTAAAGGGGACACGACATAAAGTAACAATGGAAACTACAACCGAATTTTCTACTATGAATGCCTCAAAATCTACTAGCCTCTTTGTAGGTTAAATTTTCAACGATAAATGTCAGATTGTTGAATCTGCTATCAGCCGTGTTTACCTCGATAAGCATGAGTGAAACATACGATAAGTATAATCGCAGTTTTTAAAATTGTTCATGAATTTCATCATCGATCCGTGCTTCCAATTTTGTTAAGGATATCCACACTATTTTTTCACGAGTGAAATGCTTTTCTACTTTTGTAGTCCAACATCAGAGATTGCATTTGAGCCTCATTTGACCCCAAGTCGCTGGACATTCTACAATGATTTTATTATTTAAACTTTGCAGGAGAATTTGAATTTCGATATTCACCCGTTGGAAAATAGTTTTGAAATGTGAAAAAAAATTAGAAAATTTATTTTAGAGGAAGATTAATGAAATAATTTGAATAGTCCAATTTCTGGAAACTGCGAGCATTTTCTATAAATAATTTATAAACAATCAATTTGTCTCCATAAAAATTAGTTGTTCGGAATGGTAACAAATTTATTCATATTCAGAATTTTATCAGAAACCGATTTTATGCCTAAAAAATTAGGTTTCCGAAAGTTTAAACAATTTCAATTATTTATTCACAAACAACGAATGTTGGAAAAAAATAATTCTGTGCAAAATGTAACTTGAATGCCGCTGAATATTCATCATTTTTAAAATTTTTTTATCAGTCAATTTAATAGACAAATTTAATGATTGAAAAGATACTTGTATACACTGAGAGAAAAATCTGAAGTTCGATTTACAATAGGAAAATAGTTGGGGCATTTTGGTGAATGATACGATTGTTTTTGTATGCGGCACATAACATTATAGTAACTTCACAAGCGTAATTTTTGCAACTTAAAATGCAGTTAAACTAACCAAAGTTCAAAAGTAACCACGACAAATCTATCGTGAGGAGAACTATAAAACAGTTGCAATGACTACATTCCATTGTAGTAATTACTTCTCCGGCCATAGTTACCGTAACCCATGAAAAATTGTTGAGGACTTTTTGTCTATAATTCGATGGTGATGGAATATAGTCAGAAGAATTATATTTTTCTCTCAGTGTATATCCTTAAAGTATAATTTTTTATTCATTTCGTAAGAAGAAGAAAACCAATAGCCCGGGTTCTCTCAGTTTTTCCGACGCTTCGGCCCGGAAGCGATAAAAAGGTTGACTTGTATTTTCGGTACACTTGAAAAGACGAAATGAGTTGAAGGGAGTGAAAAAACCTGGTGGGAGATGTGACGAATAAGAAGAGGAAGCCATCGGTTTTAACGCGGATCGGGTATGACATATTTCAACGTCCAGTCTAAATATATAGCCGGAAAACTATCTTTGTCCATAGCATTGCGAAATCAGACTCTTTAAATTAGACCTTTTGTACTTGCCCAATGTCGGGGCTAATCACCGTAAGGTGACTAATCAATTCACTAGTGAAGGGGTAAATCGGTTTCAGTCGCCTATGCGCTTTTTTTTAAATTATATCGAAGCTTATATCGAAGTCAAAATTTCATTGAAATTCTATTGCAACTTGGATTGCACTTCTAACAATTTTTAATTTCGACTATTGGATCTGAACGACTGGATTTCAACTATTGACAAAAACTAGATTTGGGTTAGTGTTAATGCATAGAGCTTATCAACTTCTATATTCGTGAAAAAAAATAGGAAAGTCGATGATCCCCTATAAGAAAATTTTAGTAAAATGGAAAAAGACGCGGATAAACAAAATTGATAGAAAAACTTAGCGAATTCGTTAGAAAATTCTATTGGATTTCAATTGAACTTGCTATTAGTTTTTGGTCAACTCTATTGAAATGTTCGAGTCGATTTTTCTACATAACTTATTCTATTGAGAAAACACAAAAAAATGGAAAGTTAAATTTAAATGATTGCAAAGCTGCCATTCGGAAGTGAAGACGTCAAAATTGATGTTTTTGGGCATTTTAGGAATTCTGGGCATTTTCAAGTAGCTGAAAAGATCGTAAATTTTCTTGGGAATTGAATGCAATTGGATTTAGAACGCTCGCTCTTCTAGTTTTTGAGATATCCTAAAAAAATTAAAATTTATGATAAATTCAGAAGTGAAGTGGTAAATCGGTATAAGTCGATTTCGACTATTGCCCAGTTTTCAATGAATATCTCAAAATCTAAGGGAAATAGCAAAATTTTTGTCATAACCTTTTTTGTAGAGCTAATTGAGAGCTACAAAAAAGGAAATCACAACAATTTTGCTATTTCCCTTAGATTCCGAGATATTTATTGAAAACTGGCCAATAGTCAAAATCGACTTGTACCGGTTTACCACTTCGCTACTGAATTAATTGAGCTAAAAATTAATGTGGATAATGCCTGAAAGTTGATTCGAATATGTGGCACCCCAGATGGATGATTTCCATCGTTCTTTAATTTTTTTTTTGTCACGAGACCATATTTGGGGCCGCCGGTGGTTTTCGAGAGGAGATAAAAAGGTCGAGTATCTACAGAATATAGAAGGCGCCTTGAATCATACACGTATGCGTGTGTACCTAAGGAGAGTGACGAAGAGGGAGAAGTACTTTTGCAATGGGGCCTCACAGAGCGACATTAGCGAAGGTGTTCAGTGCGGAGGTGTTCGGTATGAGCCCCGCAACTCGTCTCACAACTCTGTGTTATGGTTTCCTTCGGGGATTGATATATTCTGAGGTTTAATAGCCATTGTTGTAGGAAAAAATTTAATAGAAAAACCTATCGAATTCGTTAGAAAATTTTATTGAATTTCTATTGAACTGTTCTATTTGTTTTTGGCCGATTCTATTGAAATGCTCAATAGAAAATATTCAGTACAAAAAGTCAATAGAATTCAACATCGAATTCTGTTGACTTTTCCTATTGAATGTTTTCTATTGAACATGTCAATAGAATCAGCCAAAAACTAATAGGAAGTTTAATAGAAATTTAATAGAATTTTCTAACGAATTCGATAGAATTTTTCTAGTAAATTTTTTCGTGCGTGCACACCTCGAAAGTAGGTAAAGACAGTAAAACCTGGTTGTCTCATGATAAGAGTCTCCGCCTGTAATCAATGCAGTATCGTAGCCCAGAAACTCCTACGTTAAAAGCCCTCTCTTTGCTTAAAACCCTATCTGTGTGGACAAGAAAAAGTACTGGAAACCAGGACATGCTCAATTTCAAGAGCCTACTGTAATGGGAATATCGAAACCATATGGAAAATGCTAGTAAATTTAAGTAATTCCAACAGTTTTGAAAATCAACTGCTGCATTTAAATTGTTGGCAATTTGAATTCTATTTCAGGTAAAATCGCTTCTGGAATTTGTCATTCATCGTTGAAATTCAACGAACTTGAGTTTTTTTATATGAGACTACTATTCATATTTCAATGACAGATAGACGTTTCAAACTCATTGGAATAATTCAACATTCCATTGAATTTAATTTTCAATTGAATTTTAAGAAACTTGGAATTTAGAAGGATAGTCATCGGAATTTTCACAATTGTCAATAATTTTAATTGTTGTATTGATCTGAAAATTGGGATACCACTGAACACTCTGGGAATCAAATTAATTTGAATTTTTTAACAGTGCTCAATTCGATTTGAAGGGAATCATTTACAAAATTTCAAGATTCAGCTGAAAATTAAACTTCATATTAATTGAATTTTCAATAGAATGAAAATTCAATTGAGAAATAGGTGCCTAAATTGTCTAAAACTCCTACAATTTTCATTGTCATTAACCCGAAGATTACAATGCCAGCAATTGACTAATTTTTCACAAAAAAAAAAATTAATAAAAATTTCACGTTAATGAGTTGTTGGAAAATTCAAGATTTTCTAACAGTGCAGTGATCGTTTACTTGAAAATGACTCCGGAGAATAATAGTTTCACAAAAAAAGTACTTCATTGCTCAATAAATATCCCAAGTGTGGAGTCATAAGGGCGTAAAAATTATACTCATACATACCAGTTCACGTACGCGAGGAATTGCGCAAATGGCCGTGAATTGAGCCGAGCGCGTTCAAAAAAGGTGGTTTCTCTCTGGAGACTTCTCATACTCCTACGTCATGTAACGTTGTTTAAATTATGATTTCATACGCAGCTTGCATTCCAGCCCAGCCTACTAATTTTTATAAATAAAAATCACGTTGAGTTAGTAAATGCGTGAATGAAAAGCCTTCAGATTAATAGAATACTGACAATAACTGGGCACTGTTTGACATTTTTGAATGGAAGTTGTACGTTAGCTTCCGTAAGCCGACGACATGTGCCCGGCAAAGTGCTAAATGTACAAAGAGGTGAAAGCAAGATTTTACTACTCCGATCACGTGCATCATAATCGTGCATCATACACGTGAGGATACATGGGTGATTAAAATACTGGGAGCATCTCTCATTTGCGCGTATTAATTTGTAACATGAGATGCAAGAGCGTTCGGGGTTTAATGCAAATCTCAGATATCACAGGCATACGAAGGAAATTTAATTGTACGATCTGAAATAAATTATTGCAGTCGTTTGCAGTAATCTCACCGAGAAATATACGAGTATTTTACAACGAGATGATGAGTCCTTTAACAAATTTTCCTGTTACCAAGCATCCGTGTTAAAGAGAAAATATAGAAAAAACCAATAAATTTTGGTTTTTTTGCCCATCTTCTTCCGTTTATTGTCCCTCAGCTAGAATTTTCTAAGCTTTATTACACAAGAGAACACGGAAAATGCGGAGGAAAACTTAGGGAATTCCTGTTGAGAAATTTCTACACAAATGTCACAATAGAAGTTGCGCAGTAAAATCGAAATTTACAGGATTTGCCTATCAAACATTTTTATTTGAAAAAAAAAAACAATAAAAATGAAGAACTTTGGAATACGTTGTTCGTGTTCTACGGACGTTCGGGCTTTAGTACAAATCTCAGACAGCGCATGCATGTGAAGGCAATTTAATTATCCGATCTCACTGAAAAATATAGACGTATTCTCCAATGAAATGATGATTTTATTAATAAATTTGACTATTACGAATCATCAGTACAGTTTGCACGTGTCTTCTTTTTACAGTAATGTTCAATAGGAATGATCTAAAGTAAAAAAACCAATAGATTTTTACTTTTCTATGCAATGTATCCTAATGAACTCTTTCGTAATTTTCAAAAATAGAAATTTCTGAATCTAAAATCTAAAGTTCCCTAGTTCAATATTTGCACGAGAGAAGAGAAAAATGAAAGAGCTTTGAAAATATATGCTAAGCAATTTCCGCGGAAAATCTCACGATAACAAGTTGCACACGAAAATCGAAATCAATGACTTTTTTCCCGTTGAATATTCGTAGTTAAAAATACCAATAGAAACGAAAAACACCGAAATACCTTCTTCAAGTGTTCTATGCACGTTCTGTATGCTGGAGGCCTGTAAGTCCTTCAAGAACTGTTTTTCGAATGTTTTGAATGCCTTTGTTATGCAAGAACGTAATTGTGTATATATAAGAACGCACGTACGAGGATAAAACCATTTGCGGACAGCTCACATGAGTAGAGTAAACGTAAGACAAAAATCAAAGACCAAATGGAATTGTCGGATAAAATTCCTTCATTATTGATACTTGCGTGACCGATGTATGCCGATAGATGAGTTAGTTGAGCGCATAAACCGCCGCCGAGTTCAATCATTTTCCTAACGAATACGAATGAGGAATATCATACTTTCGGAGACTGTCAACAGTAAAAACCGCTTCTCGATTTTTATAGACGCCCCCAACAACAGTATAAAAAACGCCCACATTTTCCACCATTAAAACGATATTTCATCGATGATGTGGACAGAAATTCGCGCTAACCCACATTCTGAATGATTGATAACTCGTTACGACTCATTTTACGGAGTTATTCAAGCGTAATACAGTCCGAACTATCGCGAACAGTTTCACCTTATCATCTTGAACATCGATACTCATTAGCTTGACGTACACTGTTAGAAATTTTCGTCTGAATTTTCCGTCCCAAATTCCGAAAATTTTTAACGCGTTCAAGTTCCACTGAAATTTCGGGAAATCTTGTCATTGAAAAATCAAATATTCCATTGATATTCTGTCCAAATGATCTGGAAATCAATAAAATGCTTGATTTTTCAGTTAAATTATTCTGTGAAAATTCAGAAAAATCAGGAAAATTCAGGGGAAAATTGAAAATTCATGTCATTTTGTCTCTAAATATTCATGCTCCACTGAATTTTCGTAAATTCTACTCAAGACTTGAAATTTTATAGCCATTTTTTCCCTAAATCCAATTCAATGTCACTCTCATGAGATTTACTATAATATCTTCCATGAAATTTCAAAAAATTTCCATCAGTATAGTTTTCTCGAGGCGGTCAAGTTCAAATTATTCCTATACCCTCCTCAAATCTGATATTTCGATAATAAACTGTTTCTCATCTCTCGTTTACCTTCGTCGGACTATGACATCAGCATGAATTATCATACGATTATGGCGATATGTTTTGAATTATTAAATCGGCAGTTTTGCGGTAGGTGTTGATAACATAACTAAAATTATGAATATAGCACCGAAAATTGTCTAGAGTGTGAATGAGTATTGACACAACCCAGCAAATAACGTAAGTTAAAAATGTTACTGAGCTCACGCGACTATATAAACTAACAACATCGAGTGTGTGTTACCTTATAGAGTCGTTCCAGCAGGGCAAGCACAATGTGCATCGGAGAATTTCATAGCATCAACTAGGGAACTATGAACATCTGAGTAATTTCACATAGTATACATCACTCGTTTTCCAACACACAACAGTAAGATCGCTGGCAAAGAGGTAGAGGAGGTTTTTCGACTGTGGATTCTGTGAGATCCGGTACGCGACTCTTGAATACTGGGCATGTAGCTGTGCTGACAGCCCCTCTCTTGCTCCACCTCGTCTGATCTGGGTTCCAACGAAGAGGCTGAGTCCCCACTACTTTACACTTTGGACCTTACCTCATCTCGTGTGTTTGTGGCCGATGCAGGAGTACAAATTGCCACAAAAATTTGTGGGATGAAAATACTTGCAGATTGATCTTGAGGTGAGGTGAGAGAGGGAGAGGGAGTCGGAGTCGGGTTTTTGGGGGGAGAGAGGGGCCCCAGGGGTTTATTGGCCACCCACCTAGTCAGGTGTTCTGACTTTACATTGTTCTCAAAATCACTGCTCCATTCCGTTCTTGGGAAGTGGAGGCTCAACAGAATGAGAGATAAGATAGGAATGTCGGTTTTAAAAGAAAAATTTGGGTGGCGGAGGGAAAAGTCACAGTAGTATGAGTCAATGGAATTGTCGAAGTATTACAGGCGTAGAAATCACATTTTTGGAAATTATATAAATGAAGATCGCAATTTGAAAAAATCGTGAAAACGAATCGTAATAGGAAGAATTACAAATCGAGTTCAAAATGAAAGACCGAAGCATTTGTATTGGATAGTGTTAGAGACCACTCGGGCATGAATTTCGTTTTTAACAAATGTGGGTGCAGAGCTCGTCTTCACATTCGTCGAAAACGAATTTTAGGTTCTAGGGCTGTAATGCACTGTTTCAATAAATTGTCTAATTGTAAAAAAAAATATGAGACAATTCATGTTACATATTTTCGGCTGAAATTTCCGGCACACTTCTTGGAAAGTCTTATCACATTAAAGTTTCACTGAAATTTCAAGGGATTCCGTCATTAAAATTTCGAAATTTTATGGGGAAATCAATGGAAACTACAAATTTCAGTTCAATTATTCCCGAAAAATTCATAGAAATCAGGAAAATTTATGTGAATTTATTCTTGAATTTTGAATTGTCTGAAAATTCGAATCAGTTGAAGAATTCTCGTCATTCTGCCCCTCCAAAAAGGTGAAATTTCATTGCATTTTCAGTGCATACTGACATTTCATGACTTCTTCGTTCTGAATAGAATTCAGCGTAACTCTTCTGAAAGCCACTAGTCTACAGTCCATGAAATTTCAGGGTATTTCGTCATTGAAAATTCTCAATTTTGTGGAAAAATCAATGGAAACTGCAAATGTCAGTTCAATTATTCCAGAAAAATTGATAGAAATCAGGAAAATTCCGGTGAATTTACTCTTGAATTTCGAATTGACAGAAAATTCATGTAAATTAAAGAATCCTCGTCGTTCTGCTGTTCAAAAAAGTGAAATTTCGTTAAATTTTCAATGAAATCTCATGATTTTTCCACGCTGAATAGAATTCAATATGACTCTCCTGAGAATTACTAGTGAACTGTCAATGACCTTCAGTCCTATTCCATCCTCAAAATTCATGAAAGTTCAACAGAAAGAACGTAGAATATTAACATCAGTTCGAGAAGAAAACCCGTGATTCCATGAAAACAAATATGAAAAATATGAGACAGATTTAGTTGGATGAATATTCTCAAGCACAAGTTCGTCTGAAGCCAGTTGGCAATCTCAGCTGTAAGAATGGTAGATTCGCTGTTATATTTCTAGATCCACTTATGTACGTTAGTTGCATCTAATTCTTCACTCGCCCTCTCACCAGAGCAGTTACCCCGCGGAGTATATCAGCCAGTGACTCGTCAACTTTTAATAGTTAAGCTTATCCATATAAGTCCTTGAGAAAGCATTAGCACAGGATTAGGCATCACGGAGGCGAGATTCACTCTGAATGATAATGAGATGAGCGAGGGATATTTGTTGAAAGCATTATAGCTCAAAATATCTATCATTAAAGCGCTAGAGCTGATTAGCCATGTATCTGGGCTCGCTTATATCCTCAGTGATCGAGCCGAAAGAAAGTATTTTGTTGTGGGTGAACCGGTTTCTCCAGCAGTTGAAGTATACTTCAATCCTTCTCTGTACCGTTCAGTCCTCTCGTTTTAGTATTGGAGAAACGGAGAGCTTGACATATCGCATGCAAAGCCAAAAATTATACATCAAATTTTATTTCTCCTTTATTTTTCCTCCCGAATTTCCGGCGTATATATAGCTTGGGTAACGATCATATGCACAATTATAGACTGATGCTGATCGATTTTGAGGTATTTCGTACACAACACCGCTGTTCTACATGGCCAGTTTACAATACGTCGTATTCTCAAATATAATTACGGAACTGGAGGTGAATTTCGTAATTGAGCTAATGAAAAATAATAGAAGAGGATTAATCGAAGAAACCACATGTAAAAATAAATGGAGAACGTTTATATTTTTTTCAAGTAAAAAATGCCACAAGGAGTTCACTTTTTTTCAGTTAAACCTCGAATAAAAGTTGTCAAGAATTTTACGGAAATATCTCGTAGTATAGAAAAAAACAGATGAATTGGATTCCAAATTTTCCAAAAATCACATTTGTCACGTCTACTTGGAGACTGTGTTCGCGCTAAATGCTGAGGATGGAAATGATGCAGAAGATAATTTTCACAATAATATACTGACACTGATAGATTTTGAGGTATTTCGTATTCAACACCGCAGTTTTACATGGCAAGTTAACAATACGTCGTTTTTTTCAAATATAATTGAGCTAATGAAGTGAGAAGTAATTTTTTTTCTTACACATCTGCTTGGAAAATGAAAAAGACTAGAAGAGGATTAATCGAACAAAAAACCACATGTAAAAATAAATAGAAAACGTTAATATTTTTTTTTAAATAAAAAATTCCACAAGGAATTTCCTCTTTTTTCAGTCAGACGGAAAATAAATGGTGACAAAAAAAGAAAAGTGAGATATTTACGGAAATATCTCGTATTAGGAAAAAAAAAAACGGATGAATTGGATTCTAAATTTTTCAAAAATCATATTTGTCGCATCTACGTTCGCGCTAAATACTAGGGATCGAAATGATACAAAAGGGTACACCGAGATAATTTGCACAATAATATACTGATACTGATAGATCTTGAGGTATTTCGTATACAACAATGTAGTTTCACTTCGCTAGTTTACAGACCACGGTTTTGTCTCAGTATAATTACAGAACTTGAGATGAATTCCATAATTAAGTTAATGAAGTGAGGAATAATTTTATTTTATTTTCTTAAAAAATAAAAGAAGTGGATTAATGAAACAAAAAGCCACATGTAAAAATAAATATAAAACGTTTATATTTTTTTTTCAAATAAAAAATGCCACAAGGAATTTCCTACTTTTTTCAGTTAGACCGCAAATAAATGTGAAAAATACGAAAAGTGAGATATTGACGGACATATCTCGTAGGATAAAAAACGGATGAATTGGATATTCTAAATTTTCCAAAAATCATATTTGTCGTCTACATTCGTGATTAGCGATAAATACTAGGGATCGAAATAATACAAGCGCACACCGGGCGATTGGAGTAATGAAAATTAAAACAAAAACACACTGAGTGAACCCTATTACAATGTAGGTATTCGACGGTTCTACCTACAAAACAACAACATCAATTGTTGTTAGAATGACTTTAGAATCTCCTAGACTCTCTTTCACCTGAGTTTACCCATTAGTTGGACTAATGAAAAATAGTAGGGATATTTGTCTAACCGGAAAATTCACCGCAAACCATTTAATAAAAAAATCTAGCGATTTCTTTAACAAATTTTACTGCAGTTCTGTTGAAATTCTATTCGTTTTAATGTTAATTTTATTAAAGTTAATCCAGGCGTGTAATTTTTTCAGAGATATTTGATAGGAGAAAGTCAATAGATTTTTATTTTTCTGTAGTAATTCACGGGCATGAATTTTCCAAATTTGTACCCTTAATTTTCCGTCCGTTTTTCATGATAAAATCCAGGAATTCTTATAGAAAAAATCACAATAGAATGACTTGCATAGAGTAATGAGCATAGAAAAATATCGAATCGGTCTTTTAATAGAACTTGTGCAATAAATAAATGGAATTTCTTAGAGGAAGCGCTAGATTCTTCTATTAAATTTTTTCATATGTGGAATTTTCATATTTCTCATCTACGTTCTTCCTCCACTTGATCGTTGTGTATTTATTCGCAGACTGAGAACAGAATGGTCCACTACGGTATTTAAGTAAAGCTGCCCAATTGCGGCTCGTTGCTAATTGATATGGCAAGCATCTTTTGCGTTTCATTGCCAGACGACTATTCACACACGAAAAAAATTTATGGAAAAACCGAATGCGATGGAAAATTCTATTGGATTTCTATTGGAAATTCTATAGCTTTTCATTCAAATCTTTCGAATTTCATCTTTTTATGCAACTTCTTCTATTGAGACATTTTCTCCAGGAATTCTTCGGCATGAATTTTCTAAGTCTTTTCGACTACCTTCGTTTTTTCGATTACATTTTCTCTTTTCATGAAAAAAAATTGAACAAAACACAAAAATTTGAGTCGAGGAATTTCTGTAGAAAACATCTCAATTGAATAAGTTATATACAAGAGGCAAATTGTATTGATTTTTTATCGGACAAACCTAATAGAGTTCAAGAAAAATCCACCAGAATTTTCCAACGAATTTGCAAGGTTTTTCTATGAAATTTCAACGCACATGCAATTTCTAACTTTTCTCTGAAGACGAATATAAATAAGGAAGCACGCACGAATACGCAATAATTGGCTACCTTCGAAGATTGAGTAGAAATCGGGGGTAAGCCTTTAGTTTTGGAAAATCTCGAGCCTTTATATTCTCGAATCCATATCCACTGTACAATAATATTACTGTATTACGCATTAAATATCACAATCCATGATAAAAGTCGTACCACAAACTCACACACACACACACGCAATCTCTCTTATAGTTCCCATTCGTTCCTTCCCCCTTGTCTCTCTTGGAATACACGTAGATTAAACTCTCACCGAGGTATTTGTAACCCAAAGGTCGCTTAAAAGTACTTTCATTCATTCATCTTAGAAAATCTTGCAACTGTCAATGTCGGAGCAAGATGATGTACAACGTATGAGTGTACGTATACAAATGTTACTACAATACATGAAACCTCGTACAGGAGCAGTCTTAAATGGTTTTCATCCAATTGAAATACATTTTTAAGCAATGTAATGTACTCATACATTTTTACTAAATTAATTTATGAATCATCACTGAGCGAAAAAAAGCAGGGAAATTCTATCATTCTTCGCACATTTTATTGAGAAATTCAGACGTCTCATTGAGAGCAAATATTTAATAAGACAAATTAATGGATTTAGATGTTTTTGATTAAAATTTCTCAGCCGAAATCTCTAACGATTTTGCACTGCGTTGTTTACTTTCTCATTAAAAAATTCAAGCAAAAAAATGAGGAAATTTAATAATAATTTGCACAGAACGATCAAGATCCAGTGATATTTCCTATGAATATTTCCCTTTGAAAATCACTATTGAAAAACGTGCAGAGAATCTGTGAAATTTCAATGGGAATTTCAATTTTTAAAAATTTCTACTTTGGTATGTGGATTAAAGCGAATTATAATATTCTTCAAACAAATGAATAATTTGCAGAATAACTCATTCATGATTGTCACAATCAACTATCGTCGACTGTACTAAACTCAAAGGCTTTATTTGAAGAGCTATCTATTGTCTGAAAAATTCCCCAAATTTTGTTTCAATTTTTTTTCGCCCAGTGATTGCTTACGATGTATTGAACAGAAAATTTAAGAGCCATTTATAATACATCAGGCGATTTCATTTTATTTTGAGCACTGGATTGAATTAAGTTAACGCTAAAATCATTGCATGATAACAAATACCATTATTCATCAATACTTTCCCGACATGGATTCACTTGTGCTCTGGGTATTGAGGCCATACTACTGTATTTCACTGAGGTAATGACTGGCTTTTGTGATGTCACCCTTATTAGGCCATTTTAAGTGTGTTCTCTGTGCTTTTTGCTGTAGTCTTTCACACTTCTCTGATAAGCTTTGATGTTGAAAAATTTGACAGACTATCGTTAAATGCACGATTCGATAATAAAATCGTAAATGACATAGATACAGAACATCAGTGGAACAGTGTTGCAGATTTTCCACTGCCCTTCAATGTCACTCTATCGGTATGAGTGTTCCATTAGTAATTAATTATCTATAATCATAAATTATACAAAACGGATCGTCATCCATGTACACGAGAAAGCAGAGTATAAAAAACAAAAGAGATCATGAAATTAAAAAAATATAATCAATCGTTTTGTAATGCATTCTCACTGAGGGATATTTCTAACGAATCGATGGGATATTTACAATTTCAATAAAATACTAATGAAATCAAAATATATACAAATAGAGAAAATTAATGGAAAATGATGTGTCTATCGACAAATGAAGATTTTCTGAATCCCACTGGCTTCAACTATCAGCTAATTTCAATCGAAAACCTATGATCAACGTGATCAATGTTATAAAGACTATCCTATCATTTCAATTCTTACTTTGTTTTTCTTCACTTTATGTCTAGTCGTTCTCTTCAATTATTCTATTATGAGTTATCAGGTCTCTTGGTATATCCAACAAGGACAACTTGAAGACATCAATGATCCAAATGTGTACAAAAAGTTGGATTGAGAGAATATGAAAGAGGAATAAAGCCGTATTTCAGGATAAAGCGTATCAGTGGAAAAAAATTTTACCTAGTCATTTTTTCACTCATCGAGCTCAGTAGAATAGCTGAGGAGGGCAAACTCGATGGTTATGATCGATGTGTGCTGATAACAAGGAGCATCTCGCAGAGTTTTTGAAGAGAAAAATATTTTTAATTTCTGGAATCAACTAGTCTAGCTCAAATTTTCAGTGACCAATCGTTCGGAGATTTGAACTTCCCTTATTTCTCCTTTATGTGTACAATTTTACATGATTTGTACGCCACATTGCCATCACATGATCCATAGACGTATGAACAAAATTTCATAGAAAGACTAGTGCTTTCTCTAAGAAGTGGTTTTTAAATTTTATCATTTTGAAAATTCCATTATTTTTTTGTATTGATCTCTATTGAAAATTATTCAACTTTAGTTTTTTATTTTTAAGTATATATTAATAAAAAGGAAAACTATTAATAAGAATTAACAATAAAAGTCAGATTTTTTTATCTTCGAGACAATAATTTATATGAGAAAATCACCATCCATTTTTCTACGAAATATCTATTGAAAAATCTCAAATAAATTTTCCAGAGAAAGTTAGCTTTTTCCATGAGGAGACTAGAAATGTAATTATTTTCACCAGTTAATCCCAAAATTCAGAGATACCTCCCCATTATCAGTGCACATCCAAAGAAAATAATTTGAATTCTACATGTCACCTTTGAATTTACAATTAACAATCCCACTCGACGGGCCCTGGACTCGACACTCAAGCAATTGTCTTAGTAATAAAGAAGGCATGCGATTATCATGAGCAGCAACAACATTGAGTCCTCAGCCCGGAGTGGGTGGGATCTTATGTCAGTGAATATTAAAGTTGTACTGTTTACGAGTTGATGTAATACGCAGCCAACGACTGACAGCCAATGGCTCTGGATGGCAATTCGACCAGGCAATGTCACTAAAATGTGGATAAGCTGTGGATGTTGTTGTTGTCTCAACTTGAATAGCGGACGAATAATTCTCAGTTTGAAAATCCTGTTTGCTTTTTTTCGTGCCACGTCCGGCAATTGGACTGGACGTGACAGTGTGATTATTGAGTCTTTTACCATTGGCCAATTGTTGCTTAGGGTTGTCCATCTGATCCTCAAAGACAAGACTGGGCATCGATGCCTGACCCTGATAATTCCTGGATATTGGTGACTGCATTAGACTGCTTGACCTTGGTATTTGCATTATTATTTGGGATTTGGTATCTTTGAACATTGCCATTGGCGAGTACAGGGTCATACTCTCGGTCTTCATGTCTGAGAGGGTCTCCCCCTCGAGAACAGTATTCGGTAACTGGGCATTTGGTGGTGGCAGTGGCGTTTGAATAGCTGGAAGGGACGATGCGTTGACGGGTATCAGTGTGGCAACTGGTGGTGCATCATTGCTCGCTGCTATTGGTGATAACGAGGGAAGTACAACGGAAATTGGAGCCATCGATCCTGCTGGTAGTGCTCCCTTCCCCGCAACTGCTGCTGCCGTTGATTCCAGTCTCATCTCCTCGTTAACAAAATCCTCTTCCAGCTTTGTCTAAAAAATAAAGAAAAAAAAAACGAAACGATTTCGTATCCATGAGATTAGTAGATTCTGGTGGATGACTGATGGCTTAAGTATCTTATGTTGTCGGGCCGTAAAGTATGACCCAAAAAGGAACCATGCCTTACAGGTTTAGTGGAGCCATGCGGGGCCAGACACCGATAAAGCAAATCAACAGCCTGTAATGATAAAAAACAAAAACAAGTATCAACCGACACCCGGCCATAAAATCATTATTATTTGTTTTTTTTTATCATTCGCATGTCTTGGATAATAGGGCTTTTCCTCTCTTATTGGGCACTCCAAATGGCTCCATCGACTGGTGTCGAGCCTGATTTTTAGAAATTTTCATTCGATTTTTGCATCAGTCCAGAATAAGGCTTTTCAAATAATAGAAAATAATCGTGAAAAATTTAGTTCGATAATAATCGACAGGTCCTGAGAGGTTCCCGGATAATTTAGGGAGAATTTTCCCCAGAAAATTGTTCCACGGAAGAATATTCCTCTCATTTACGGTTTTTGCTCCAATTTGCGAGGTTTATGTGCATTTGTATCAGTGAGGTGTGTTTACCATTGAATTACACGTTATGTGGTGATTTGACATTCATTGTTGGAATTTTTTTCCGAAATTTTGTGGACAGTTTAATAGTAACTTTCAAGGAGTAATATCGAGGAGTAATATCGAATTGGATTTAGAGGAATAAAATGATGAATTTCTAATTTCACTGGAAATTCAATGGAATTCCAAATTTTTTGGCTGAAGAAAAACGAGAATTCCTCAAATTTCTTCAGCTTTCAAACAAAACATGAAAATGCAGTCCCAAATTACCCTCAATTTTCAAAAATTGAACTGAAATTGACAATTTCCATTAGATCTTTCACCAAATTGTAAATTTTTAATGTTAAAATTCATTGAAATTTCAGTGGAAATGTCACTTGAAAAAACTTCAGACCGTTGCGGTTCACTCATCGATACTAATAGAGCCCCCCTTATGTAGTATTCTCGTTTCTCATCTAATAATCTTTCTGATTTCGGGATTGGTCATTAAATTTATATTGACGTATGTTCAATGATTCTCATTCCTTCCCTAACAATGTGCACGACTGTCTAAATTGATGTCTAATAGCATGTGTTGAATAAATCTTCATTCTGCATTTCTCAACATTCGTGTGTTTCACTCTTGGAGAAGAAAAGTTTTTTCATCGTATTGCATACATTTTTTCGTGGAACAATCCTCCAGAAAACATTTACCCAAGAACCGTCCTATGAGACAAAATCAGAGGATTTCTTCTAGATTTCATCATACTTTAGATAGAAGAAAAAAAAAAGGAAAATTGCAAACTAGTAGAACTAAAGTGGAAATTGTCTCTCCGTACCTTCGGCAGTGGATAGGTATCTGGCAGAGATAGTACAGGTGGTGAGCCAGGTGCATCGTTATCATTGGCAATCGTTAAATTCGTGTTCAACAGTGCTGATGCTGTTGACACCGTAACAGTCCCAGTGACCGTTATCTTTGACGTCCTGTTTGGAAGATCCTTCGAGGCCCTGTGCTCAGCGAGCAGTTTGTCGAAGCTTTTGCTCCGACCAGCGACTGTCCGGCGTAACGAGACGGTGTGTGCCTTGCAGGTGAGGGATCTGGTGCAGGGTTTGCCGGTCTCTTCGTTCCAGACACCGCAGTGCCTGTCTGGATCGTATTCTCGATCCTTGAGGAGTCCACGATCAGCCTTCAGCCTTTTTCTCTTGGTTCCATTGTTACTCGTTGTCGTGTTACTCACACTGCTATTGTTCCCTGGACTCTTGACTGGGCTCGATGGGACTGGGGCTGTGGCACTCGCACTGACCCCAGAGGAAATATTTGATCCTACGAGGCTGCAATTGCCATCGACTGGAGAGGTCGGGAGTAAGGCTTGCTCGGCGTTTCTCTTCACTGACGTGTGATTGATTTTTGAACTGTTACTAGCTGTCGAACTCGTTCCACTCGCACCGTTACCACTGCTGTTGCTTGCTGAAGGGCCTTGGGGGGGCTGTGCCTTCTTCGTTAATTTCGATACTTTGCAGTAAGGAGTCTTCACTGATGCCTTCGATGCTGGCGTCGAGGGCGGTGGCAGGTTCACTGCACCCGAAGAGTGTCTACTCTCTGTTAAATCATGGTTTTCTTGAGAATAACGTTTTCCTGGGTTTTTTGGTGTTTTTGTTTTGTTGCTTTTGGAAGCTTTTTATTATTGACATTGAATATTACCCATGTGCTGGATCAGAGCTTGTGGCTTGACGATGGCATTGCAGAGTTCACATACGACACCGTAAAATGTGTCTCTCTCTGGGCAGAAGCCGTACAAATCGATGTCTGAAAATTCGTGAATTAGTGGAATTTATCGGTTTTATTATTATTCTTCGGTTTTGCATGTGTGGAAAAGTTTAAGAGAAAAACGTAGGGTTTTCTTGGAGAATTTTTGCAATTGCATGCAATTTTGTGGCGTTCAGTTTTTTTCTTACCGTCTGCCGACAGCCGCGTAACACAGCTCGCTGGTTCAACCTCTGGTTCTTCATCGCCTGAAATATAACATTGGTTTTGTGAAGTGACGACTAACAATTTATGGGAGATTCCATGCCAAATCAGTTTTAATCCCATTGTTATTGTTTTTCAGAATAGAATAGAATCCATTCATTTTCGATTGGCTGTTGCCTAAAAATTGAATTTGCAAAAGTGGGAACCCAGGAAAGTATTATTAACTGCCTCTGCGGCGCTGGGGTATTTTTATTTGGAAAGTGCTCGAAGAAACAATGCGAATCCTTTATTATTTATGCAACTCCGTTTGTTCGTTCGCAATTTAGATTTGTGAAAATTTGAGGGATTGTTGTTGGTGTCAAGTAAACAAGTGAATGTGCTAAAATGGTAAAAATTCACAGAAATTCCTTATTTGTATAGTCCCTAATTTTAATGAATCCCATTTTTTAATTATATTAAAAAAACAAAAACTTTGGGGAAAAAGAACACAATCCATTCCCTTTCGATTAGCCCTTGCTCCGAAATCGAGTTTGAAAAATAAGAAAGTCGAAAAATGTGAGAAAAGCAAAGAATGCTTTTTTTAATTATTTAAATTCGCTTATTTTTTCACAAGACAGATGTCTGAAAATTTACGCAACTATCACGGGTGTCATTTTAGCAAACAAGTGGTGTTAAAATCTTGAAAATTTAGAGCAATTTTTTATCTACATATTCGAAAATTTTGAATACATCCCATTTACAGTTTGTAAAACAAAAAAAAACAAGATTGCCGAGTCGACATGGAATACCTCTTATACTCTCATTCCCTCGTGTTATATTTTCATTCCCGTGGAGGAAACTGTCATTTGAAAAGTGGAACATTTTCGGAAAATGGGATCAAGTATATGCCTGACACATGTTACAATTTCAAGGTATATACGAAATCCTGACATTTGAGGGCATTCCAGGACCGAATGGAGCATCATGCTCCCCATAATTCGCCTCGATCTCTTATTTGTCAACGAAGGAAAATAAAGCGGGGACGAAAAGAACGAAATAACAATTATGTAATGAGTTAAAAAAGGAAATGAGTTTCTCAAATGGAAGGTATCAACAATTGGACTGTTTGTCATGATAAAATAAACCACGCGATTATGGAAAACATGCGTAAATATTGTAACCCATAAATGCGAAACAAAGAGGCAAAAGCCCGGTGGTTGTAGGTTATGTTCGTTTGACGCCTGTAGAAAAATAGCAAAGTGTCGTGACAAAATTCAATGAAACTCGTTAAAACGTCTGTCTCAGGGTGTAGCAATGTCACAACTTACTCAGGGGTTTGTCACGTCCGATTCTTTCAATCCAGCTGGACCAGGGTTGGCCGTGAAAAAACGTTGGGCTGTCACTCCCCGACATTGTCACGGCGCGTTTGTAGAGTGAATGAATGAAAGTACTACTCCTCACCCTATGGTGCAGTGGTCATACCTTTAAATGCCACCGTACCTATCGAAAATCCCCTTCATCTCGTTATTTTCAGGGGAAAAATGGTAGTCTTGATTTCCGGGGATCGTTGGTTTGACGAGTTTGATATTTGGTGAATGAAAAAATGTGAGGGGTACGGCGGAGTGAGAGACATGAGCAGTGAGTAAAACAACTCGACGTCTCTCAGGTGTATACGCGATGCATACACTTATGAACCGGGTGATACTTCCTTCCGCATCCTCGGTTTACTAATAGGCCTTCAGATTTTTCATGCGCATTGAATCATTGACGGGGTGAACGATGGGGACGTTCCACCCTCGTCTTGGGGGATTGGGAAATTCAGGCTTCTTCGATATTCTGAGGCTCTACCGGGCAATTGCGCACAACGCGCTTCGAAACAATTTCACGTTACGAACAAGTTCTAATTTACATGAAATTTTTATTCATGTTGTTATTGACGAACTGGTTAATTTCTTGAATATTCAACGGAATTTAAATTTTTCAAATGGTTCTGAATTGAATGATTCTTAATTTTTTGCAACTCTGTGGTGAATTGGTAAACTAGGATACGTGCATTTTTTTCGAAGAAAAAATTATCAAATCACTTCCACAAATTGTTGGGATGCGATTTGACCAAAAACGCATTTTCGAGGACAATGCACTTATCCTAGTTTACCAATTCCCCACAGAATTATTTTTCTGAATTTTTCATTAGACAATGAGTTTGATTAGGGGAGGGTGGGATAAAACGGGCACTTGACACTTTTCTTTGATTATTCATAACTCAGAAACAAATTGATCAATTGAGCTCAGTTTAGGCTCTTCACAAAGGGAAAGAATTGTTCTTTGTATTGAAAAAAAAAAAATTATTAAATTTTATCAACATTTCAACCCCTCATTAACATTTAAAAAAAGTCAAAAATGTCCGTTTTACCCCAACCTCGCCTATTCCTCCGTTTGAATGTCATCCAATAGAAATGCAGTGTTTGACGCGTTGCATTGGAGGGGGTTAAAATTATTTCTACAAGTGTCGGTTATGTTTGTTTAGTCGCATGACAACATTGAACAAAAATTTTCTATTGAAATAAATGAAGTTCTGGTATGAATATAGCTTTAACCCACATAACCGTCGAATACTATGTTTTTCTCGGGCGAAATTCCGCTGGGAAAATGATAAAAAAAATCTAAATTGTGTAAAATACTTCTCAAGTTTTCCTGCATATCAATTGCAATTGTTATTGTAGCGTCAAAAAAATTTCGCGTCAAAAAAATTTGACAATGTCAATGTTTTTTCATCAACAATCAATCATCAATCAAAACATCAATGTTTTTTACAGACGAAGAAAAACTTCTATTCAAAATCACCGCTCAAATCTAATAGGCGCATTTTAATCTTTTAGCATTTTCTGCCAAAATTCTAGTGAAAAATGTAATAACTTCAATAGAAATCACGACATTTTCGGATAAAATTCAACGGAAATGTTATAATTTCTACCAGACTTATTGCATTTGCGAGTCTTGGGCTGACAATTGTTGACAACGATCACTAGAATTAAGGGGTGAATTCCAATTTTTCAAAAGAAATTTCTCTTAGTACCCGTAGTCGTCTAGGAAAATACACTCCATTAATTTGAGAATAATGTCCCAGTTTACACCGCAAGGAATATATAATAACTTCCGTGGAAATCACCACATTTTAGACTAAACTTATTGCATTTGCTAAAGTTTTGCTGAAAATTTTCTAAAACGATTCCTAGAATTCAGGGGTAAATTCCAAGAGAAATTTCTGGCGGCGCTCGCACTCGTCTAAAGGAATACTCTCCACAAATTAGAAAATGTCTCTATTTACACTGCAAGGATTACATAATACTCATTTTTTATTAATTTTCTCCACACATGATTATCATCCATACAAAAGAGCCTTTTGTACAATACATCGTAGTCATGATCATAAATAAATTAACTCGTAGAGGTAGATTGCTGCGATGCCGTCGGTAGCTCCAGGTTTTGCGCCCCGATGTGTTCCTGCATCTGTTGCCAATTTTTGTACCAGAAGGGCTGTTTGTCCGCATCCCAAGTTTTTATCATGTCAATGTTGCTCCACTGTCCATTGGCCTCTGGGGGATTGCTCTCTGCTGCTGGATATGCCGCAGCAGAAGCACCGATTCGATTGTCGACCGGTGCACCGGTCGTCTGTTTTGCTCCAAGATATTGAGGAAGGACAGCGGGCAAGTGATTAGCTGCGCCTGCATATGTGGGTCGACGTTGTGCATGTGCAAGAGCAATAAATATTGCCAACAATGTCGCGTGTTTCAGCTGCGGAATAATGATTAAGGACTGTCAATATGGGTTTCGCAGAGTTTGGAAGTGATTCAATTTCTCAGTGGTTACGAATTCTTCTAAATGTAGGAAGGAGAACAATTTTTAGGAAATTATATAGCTCTAGGCGTGAATTTAACCCCAAGAGTTATTCATTTCTTAAATAAATGAAAAATTATTGAGTATGAATTCAAGGAAAATTTTCAGAAATTACAATTGAAGGAATGTCAGCATTCACTGTTAGACAATTAGTTATGAAATTCTCATTAAAAAATCTCGGAATTTTTAACTAAGACTAATTACATAACGAATTTCTCTAAAAATTTTATTGAAAAATCAGTCAATTTATGGAATATTGATAATGAAAACTATTGAAATTTATCGAAGTTCAGGGAATTGCTTTTTTGGAATTTCAATGTATTGAAAATTTAATTAAATGTGATGTCTAATTTTCGCTATGAGTTTCATACAACATTGAAAACAACATTGAAAATTTAAATCCGATAATTATGAAGTTCTCATGATTTCGCGAAATTAAAAGAAAGCTCAACTTGAAGTTTTGATCAATTTTCATAGAGTAAGTACCATTAGCTAGACGGTCAAAAGAAATTTAAGGCTCATACAGAGAATAAAATAAATGAATCGCCCAAATCCGCCAGCGATACCACCTAAACCTGATAAAATATATAAAGTATCGAAAAAAAATTGAAGTAAAACAAAGAAGGAACAAATGATAAAATTCCGAAAAAGTCGGATACAGCCCAAGCACCCAATAGATAGCCGACTATACACATTCAGAATATTTATCAACGAAAAAATAAGTTCATCGTACAATTATACACCAGTGTTATCATTAAAAATTGAAATTACGGTACAATTCAGTAGCGAAACGGTAAACCGGGTTAAGTCGATTTTGACTATTGGCCGTTTTTTGGCGGCTATCTCGGAATTTAAGAGAGATAGAAAAATTTTTGTCATGACCTTTTTTATAGCCCTCCATTGGTTCCACACAAAAGGTCATGAGAAAAATTTTGCTATCTCTCTCAGATTCCAAGATATTCACCAAAAACTGGTCAGAAGTCAAAATCGACTTAACCCGGTTTACTACTTCGCTGCTGAATTCTTCTCATTAAATTTATAAAATACTCAAAAAGTTGAGACCGTTCATCTTTCACGGTGTAAATCTATTGCTCGGCTTACTCAATCGAGAAGTATGAAAATTCCTGGGAAACCCCAATTATGTAATATTTAAAATAACATACCATATTGTTGCCTCTCAATGTTGACTGAATCCCGAAAGTACCGTAAAATAAAGCGGGTAAATTTCGTGAACTTGATGGAGCCGCGTTGGTTTGAAATGTGTGCCATCCGCATATCGGCTTCTTCTTTATAAGCGTGAAAGTGCACACCATTCCCTCCCACTTGTCTCCTTGTACTCACCCATTCACGCGCTTGGGTATTTCGCAGAAATAATACCCTTGAAATTAATTACTATATTTACACAGTGATAAGAGAAGCACGATCATCGGTAATCCGTCCCTCGTGACCCTTCCGCTCTATCAAAATAGAAATTTTTGTTTTACTCCTCTTCAATACTGTAATGAGACAATGAAATTTGGGAAAAACCCATGATGAAGAGAATCGCTCGTACCATGAAGCAGGATACAGTGTTCGTAAAAGCAATTCACGGAACAAAGAGGGTATTGAGTATTGTGTCATTTCCGATAGTGCTTTTCAATTGTTCAGTCGGTGGAGTGGAGGTGGAGTGGAGTGGAGGTGAGGAGGATTCTTTTGTAAAATATCTCCTCTTTCGTGGAATAATCGTGTCCGTATTGGCATTACTAAATTGATTATATGAATAATTACAATTGTCTTGTGGTTTTAATGCGCAGATTATTCACACGAGCACGTGATTTTTAGTGAGTTTTGGCGGTCTATGTGTACCAAGTTCCCAATTAATATAGATAAGAAGTCGGTTTCTCCTCCACGAACGAAAAAAAGTAAACAGAATAACCTCGCACTCTCGCTGAGGAATTCTACTGATTTTCGTCGGAATTGTTCGAGAATCGTTTTGGAAACTTTGGTAATTTTTTTGTGATTTTCATTTTTTACTTTTTCTTGTTATCCTAATTTTTTACGTTGCGCGCGGAGAGAAGTATTCAGAAATTTTCCGGAACTGTCACGGAATTTTTCCAGAGCTTGGAGACTTTCAATTGGAATTTCAATTCTAAGAGACTTTCCGAGAATTCCAATTGAATTTTCTAACAAGGCATTAAGTATTTTATCGAATGTTTCTATTCACTCAATATTGTATATTTCGGTACGAGTGCGGAAAAGTGGTTTTTACCATCGCACCATCTCGACCACTCGACAAACACTTCTCCAAACATAAAAATCCTACTGTCCATCAATAGAAAGTAACACTCAACAATGTTGCATTGATAATACTAACGAATTCCTAACAGCGTAAAATAATGACGTCACACAGCGCTGGGTATTCCGGTAGTATTGGAGTTTTCTCGGGTGTAATGTTCCCCAATATGTTAATTAAGCGGATGGGATCGTTAAAAAAACGGAGAATTTTCCTGAATTTTCTAGCAAACAGGAGAGTTTTCTCGAATTTTCTAGAATAATCTTGGATTCTGACAGATAGCGCTGGCCATTAGGGGTAATTTTGCAAAATTAAAGACGTATCCACGTCAAAAATATGAAAATTCAAATATTTGAGCCCCTCTAAGTATACCGGATATGACTTTCAATAGAAATCTCAATTCTAAGAGCCTTCCCGAGAATTCAAATTGAATTTCCTAGCAAGGCATTAAGCCTTTTCGTGAATGTTCCTATTCACTCAATATTGTACAATATATTTCGGTACGAATGCGGAAAAGTGGTTTTTACCACCGCACCATCTCGACTACTCGACAAACACTTTTCCAAACATAAAAATCCTACTGTCCATCAATAGAAAGTAACACTCAACAATGTTGCATTGATAATAGTAACGAATTCCTAACAGCGTAAAATAATGACGTCACACAGCGCTGGGTATTCCGGTAGTGTTGATTTTTTTCGCGTGTAATGTTCCCCAATATGTTGATTAAGCGGATGGGATCACGCTGGGGAATCGCGGAGATTTCAGAGTAACGCGATATCAGAACTGATATGACGTCATCATGTGGCAACAACCTATGGGTTTTTCGTAAGCGTAATGTTTGCAGGATGAGCGCGTTAGTGAGAAAATTGATTAAATCTGTCTTCAGGATTTGCAATTGCAAAAGCGCAGTCTGTTTGAGTTTTCATAAACTCTATTCTGAGAAATTCCTCGCGCCATCGGCAATGTCGAGTTCTGCATGGTTACTTCATTTGATATTTGTTCATGTGCAAAATTATTTTAGTTCAGAAAGGGTGTTCATGAGGTGGTTGATAAATAAAAATAATCACACTATTTTATGGTCAATTCGCGAATTAATCATGAAGTGGTGTGGTTATTTATTTTTCCACAATCCCATGAACATCCTTTCATCCTGTAATAATAATAATAATAATAATAATAATAATAATAATGAAGTGTAATAATTATAAAAACTGAAAAATCAATTATTTGAAATAATAATAATTCTTTTAAGTAAAATATGATAATACTTTTTTTTTCTAATAATTATATCATTATTACAAATGCGAAAAGAGTCTGGTGCATCCTGTCATTGAAATAATTTCCATGTTAAGGATATCCAAGTACTTTGCCTATGTTTTCTCCAGTGAAATGCTTTTCTACTTTTGTAGTGGAACATTAGAGCTTTCATTTGATCCCGATTTGACCCCAAGTTTCCGGACATTTTTCAATGATTTTATTATTTAAACTTTACATATCTGAATTTAAAGCTCGATATTGTGTCGTTAGAGAGCATTCTAGAAATCTGAAAAAAATAGACTGAGGAAGGAGGAAGATTGATGAAATAATTAAAAAATTGGAATTTTTGAAAATTTCGAGCATTTTCTATAAATAATTTATCAACGGTGTATTTTTCCATCGTAAAAATCATTTGTTTGGAATCGTACCAAATTTATTCATGTTCAGAACTTTACCAGAAATCGATTGCATTCGTAAAAAAATAAGGTTTCCGAAAATTTAAACTATTTCAATTATTTATTTATGAACAACGAATGTTTCGAAAAATAGGGTGAACTGTCCAGTGTTCGAACGCATAAGAGTCGTCCAATACCAATGATCGAAAGAAAAGATTCAATAATATAGAAAATTTTCACCAGGTCCCAGTGAATTCATGAACACTAATATTTTCACAGAAATACGCGAAAAAATTCACATTTTCCCCAATAAAATTTCTAGTGCCGGCACTGGAATTTTTTCCTGGCCGTCACTTTGCGCCTCTTTTCCCGTGCTAGTACTAGAATTTTTCTACAAATTCTATCATTTCTCTCCGTGAAGGGGAAATGATCCTATTTGAGCCGGCGTCATTCCCCCGGAAGCGTCCCTAGTTTAAATAAAAACTGGAGTTGTTCAGACAAAATAATTACAAATTGACAATTTAAAGAAAGCCTCAACTAGTTTCCTCAAATACTCCAACGACGATACAAAATGTGCGGTAACTTCAGATGGAATTGGATCGGATTAGATTAATTCTTGACAATTTGTGTACCTCACTGGGGGCTATATAAAGCTCAACCGCAAAGTGTCCTCGGTCGACTTGATCATCATTTGACAACAGCGCATCATGATGCTGTTCCAATTGATACCGTTCCTTCTAGGTCAGCAGTTACTTCAATTTTGAGTAATATCGATCGGACTCTCGAGTGAATGAATAATCTATTGTTTGATAATATCGGTTTGCCATCTAGCTGCACAACTAGACGTGACAGACAACAATGCGTGGGAATTTGGGCCGGAATACCACTTTTCTGGCTTCGCGAAGATGATAACTTCTCTGGAGCAGGACATGGGAAAAGCACTCGGTACGGGAGTGTATTTTAATTTGACGTGCCGTCCACGAGAGCCTGATGTTCTGAGATGTCGACTGCTGAATACCACAATCACACGTCTGAAGCCTCAAGGTCAGGGATTGGCATCAATCATTGCATTATTAATGATAAGAGAAGTTGCACCTTAAAATAATTAAGGTGTACTTATCTTCATTAAAATTGGGAGAATAATAAAATAATTGATAATATGGAATTGTCAATTGACTACTGAGAAAATAATTCGAAATTTCATAAAAGCATTTTCGATTAACCAAAGAATCGTTAATCTTCCAAACTCAATTATTGATTGATAAAATCATTCGGAACTTGAATATTTGATTGGTGATTAATTTAATAATTAAAAAATTGTTGAGTAATATTAACCAATTCGAAATTTAACTTTATTGAAAATTTATGATTACGTCCGCTCAAGGCTTCAGCGTTGATAACGCAGAACCAGACTCCAACGATACTCATAGAGTCTTCAATATCATCAAAGTTCCATTCGAGGTGAAATTCAATGAGAGAGGGATTGACACCTTCATCACAGAAGGCAAGGATGCGCCAGTTTGGAGCATCAATCAGGTTGGACTGATCACCAGTCAACTGAATATTGGTATCGATGACTATTACGAGCTGGGATCGACCCACAAAGCTCGGGAGAACTTTACAGTTGGAGAATGCGAAGTGAATTTCACGATAACTAGACAGCAAATTGCTGAACATAAACAGGGAAACAATGATTTCAAATTGATACCGCTGGGGAAACTTGAGAAGTTAGCGGGTGGATCGATTTTGGTGAATAAAGAAAGACATGTTAAAGATTGCATCAGATGCGTTGAACCATTCTTCGGATCTCGTTATACTTTGGGACTTTTGTTGAGAGATGTCATCACGAAATTGGTGAGTATCATAGCAACTCAAGGTGTGAAAATTTATTTTCATCAGTTGTGCGTTAAGTGATGGAAATGAATTGTTATAGTTTATCGCTTTCCACACATTCGGATAAAAAATAGGGTTCGACACTTGTGCGAAAAGTGTTCTTTAACCCTTCGGCGGGTCGCACTCGCCGTCGGCGAGCCCTAGACGCCTTCCACGGGTCAAAAATAGGAATGCACGATGTTTTTAAAAACATCGATTATCGAAGAATCGAAGAATTTTTTAAAAACATCGAAGTGTAAATCCATTTTCCTGAAAAAAAAACATCGATTATTTAAAAAATGGATGTTTGTTCACATTACACAGAAAAAAAAAAAATTTTAAAACAATTTTTTATGTCGTTTTTATCAAAAATATGTATTTACCATTTATAAGGTACATGCTGTAGAAAGTAATGACTTCCGATTGCGGATAAATTATTTTTTTTATTCTCAATCAATCAACATTATTGTTCGTTAATAAATGCAAAATTTTGTTGCACAAAAATATCGAATGAAAAACATCGATGTTTTGGCATGGAAAGATCGATATTGGCGATTAATCGACAAACATCGCCCACTCCTACTCAAAAAAACACTTTTACGCACTCGTATCGAAAAATACTATTCTCAATGCATTCCTATTCTTTTAGAAAACATCAATCAGCAGAATTTCGATATCTAAACACGACTTCACATCAGACACTATCAACGAGAGTGACGTGTATGATGAAAATCGTAAAAAATCGGGCAAAGTTATGGACCACATGAAGCTGACGTTGGAATCAATCACTCCAGCCAAGGAGAAAATTCAGCAATTTTCGAAGCCATTGGTTTACGGTGGTCTGGTGGATCTGGTCAGATTAAAAAGCGCAAATCTCTGAGGTTGAACTTCAGAGACTATTCTGATGTTCAATAATAACATAAAGCGTTCGCTGTATCCTCTGATTATCTAATAGTTGGTCTCCCTGTAGCTAATTAAATAAAAAGCGATCAGTATTCTGTTGACAAACTGAAGATTATTCGCAGTACCCTCAGCTTTCAGTCATGACAATTATCAATTATATTCTCTGAGTCACTGACTAAATACCCACGAAGAGACGAGACTATTTGATTACACCTCCGGCGTCAGAGAGGATTCTGTGGAACCATAGAGGCGGATATCATTAAATTTGAGGAAAAAGGCAACTATTTTGAAGGTCACGAGAATTACCGACAATAAGGTCGAAACGTGCAGAATGAGAGCGGTCAGTACACGCATTTTACAGAATTGTAGAACATTATCTCAATGAGTAGTCTGAAGTGTGGATCATCATATTATTATTATCGTCGTCATTGTCACCATCGTTTGTATAAAAGGGGAATTACTCGGAGGGAAATATCGTTGAAGCTGCGAGGATTTTTGGCCGGCAACATGAATATCATCATCTTGCCTCTGCTAATCGGTAAGCACAGCATTTACAGTATTTATCCTTCATTTAACCTTACTTTAAACTTTACCTTAAGCTGTTGAAAAAAAATGAAAAATCAGGGATAGTTTCGTTGTAATTTTCGGGAGAATGACTTTGACTTCGATTTCAGGGGGACGACCCGAGTCGAATAATTGGACCTGACAAGTTCTACTTAGGTCTTTCCGTTCAGAACTGGATAGGTCTTGGGAAGCCTCGTCCCAATTGCTTCCGAGACCTTTCTACCTCTGGTTATGTCCCATTTCAGCACTTGTTTGGTGTAAGCAGAACTTGTATTCAGACTTTCCAAATCCTTGCCGGTCCCCGTAATTCTATGGGCCTATATTAAATCTGCGTTCATATCCCTGTTTACTCATGCGTTATTGAAATAAAAAATGCAATTATTGTTTTTTTTTTTAATCTCGAAAATCGACATTTCACGAGAGGGTGGAGGGGAGATGCATGTATGTGGAGGCTTGACATTTGACAAATCCACTTGCCCCGGAAAACCTGAAAATCTGACCCTTTGGCTGGGGGNAAAAATTCGATTGTGGCGACAATCTACTTGCCCCGGAAAACCCGAAAATCTGACCCTTTGGCTGGGGCCAAAAAAAACGGTTTCTCAGTTTTCACTTTTTCCACATACTTTTGATAGTTCTGAATAGCCCGTCGCTTAAATAGTTGGAATCAGCGTTCACCCGGCTAAAAAATTCGATTTTGGCCAAAAATCCAAGGTCTGACACTTTGACACTTGTGACCCTTGTGACCCTTGGACCGACTTTCCCCCCGGAAAAATCCAAGATCCGACACTGTGGCCTCCGGTGA